CCACTTTTAAAAAACCCTCACCCAAAGAGGGAAGATATTTTTTCCATCGATTCTGGAGAGAGTGGAAGGGAGGGAGGAGGGGGAGAGGGAGAGAGTGATGTGAGAGAGACACATCAATTGGTTGCCTCTCGCCTCGACCAGGGCCAGGGATCGAACCTGCAGCAGAGGTCTGTGCCCTTGATCGGGAATCAAAACCACAATCCTTTGGCCTGCAGGCCAGCTCTCTAACCGCCGAACCACCGGCCAGGGCCACACCATAAAGATCCCAAGAGCAGAGGATGTGGGAACATTGTCAGCATGAAGCCAGCTGGGAAGCTCTGTTATTCCAGATGTGCTGCTCCGATTTGCTGATGTAGCAACTGGGGCCTCTTGGATGAGGCGCTGGGTCACCGTGACTTCTCGCTGCTCCTGGGATCACTGGAGTGCGTGCTGACAGCCCCAAGGGCTGTGTGGGGTTCCACGGGGGTTCCACATGCAGCCCGCAGCGTGGCCCCAAGATAGTCTGCCATCCCGTCCTTGCCGCCCCGACCCCTGGCACCGGCTGGGCCTCCCTGCAGACGCGTGTCCTTCCAGACTTCTGTCTCCCGGGGGTGGTGTCACCCTGGCTGGCCCTCCACAGCAGCCAGACGGGAGTCTCCCACATTCCTCAGCGGCCGGCTCACACGCAGGCTCCCCACACGCTCCACGCTGCCGGGTGAACAACGTTTCCATCACCCGCGGCCGGCAACGCGTCAACACCATCGTCGGGTCCCGCCGTGTCTTTCGACATCGCACACATGGGCGCTCTGGCTGTGACCGTCCTCCTGCTGCGAGGAGCTGCTTCTGTGCTCGCCCGCCACCCAGGTCGCTTGGTGGCTCTCGTGTCGGACGCCGTCCGTCTCCGTGCCCGGACGCAGCAGGACTCGGCCTCCGTCCTCTGCTCGCACACGTGTGCATTGTCTTAAGAGTTGAGGTTGGGGTTCTTCTTGTCCCATCCTAATCCCTTCCTGAATCTGCTTTTCTTTTTCCTGATTTTGTCAATAATGAAAGGATATAAACTAATAGTGCTCAGAGTGGTCCCAGAAGTCACCCGCTTTCCCCCTTTTGTTTACAGGACACTGGCACGGATCTGCTCCCAGCTCCCCCGCTTGCTTTGGCCACGTTTCTCCGTGGTTTTGGCCTCGGTTTCCTCATCTGCAAAGTGGGAGTAAAGACATCATCTGAGCACAGGACTGTGGTGCAGATGGACAGTCCAAGCGCCCCGCCTGCACAGGTAAGGCCTCCACATGTTAGTGATGGGAAATGGCACTGAGGTGGTGGCTCAGCCGCCCCTCGTTGCCGTGAGCCCTGTAGACACAGTCAGAATGACAGACCGGCTCTGCGATAGCGCCTGTGTGCCTCCCTCCTCGCTTCGGCTGGAAGCCATTATGGGATCACATGTTGCTTCCAGCTGCGGACTGCTCTCAGGTCCCCCATGGCAAGGGCTTCCTGAGGAGGAATCCCGCAGCCGCCCCTCTCGTGGCTCTGCCGCTCCCAGCAGCACTTCCCGTGCCTGCCTCTCCCGGCAAATGGGCTCTGTACTTACAATAATGCGCCTTGCTTCCCAGCATCAGCGCTGAGCGCACCCTCCACCCTCGCGGGACTGGGCTGGGCTTAAAAGCAGAGGAGTCCCGGCCGCCCAGCCGCCCGGAGAGAGGCAGCGTCTGTCTCTCCCTGTGGTGACTCGAGGACCCAGGGCACCTTCGATGCAGATCCTTTGACCTGCAGGACGTCGGGCCACCGCCTGGAACAGGCAGGTGGGTGCCAGCTCATTTACACGCGGCTGATGACTCGAACCCGTGCACATTGGGCCTCTTTTCTGTGTTATGGGTCTTCTGCTTCATTCAGTGAAATGCAGGTCACACCCCAACCCCTGAAGGATTCGTGGGAGAGACTGGTTGGTGGTAGACAGGGCACCTCATCTTTGGGCCGCTAATATTTTAAAATGCTGGGGTGGAGTCGGGACCACGGGGTCAGAGGTCAGGGCTGGGGAAGTATATGAATATAATGCATTTATCTGTCTGGACACAAGGCTGGAGACAGTGAGACCCAGGAGGCTCAGAGGGAAGCCCTGTGTGTCCCGTGCCTGGTGTCAGGGCCGCCGAGGGCAGGAAGCACCCCTTGGTTTCGGAGGGAAGAGTCGGCTTTGGAGTAAGACGGCCGTGGTTTGAGTCCCAGCTCTGCCGCTCACAAGCTAGATGACTGCTGGGCTGGTCACCCATGATGTCGCTGAGCCTGGCCTGTGCCTGTAGCGAGGAGTGGACACCAGCCAGCGAGGCGTGATTTGTGTTGTGTGATTAGCATTTCGTAGCCTCGTGGTTGCGTTTGCGCCAGCCTGGCCGCCGCCGTCAGAGGCCGTGTGTGCAGGTAGCCGCCCCGAGTGCGTTTCTGTGCCGGTGACATCAGTGAACCAGCGCCCAGGGCGCAGGGATAGAGTGGACGGAGGGAGGGCAGGGTGGCTGGAGGGAACCACAGCCCTTCTGTTCTGCTGCTGTGGTCGCCTGAGACCCGGTGGGAGCAGCATGGCCACCTGCCGCTTCCTCCCTGTCCTGTCCCCGCCACAGCTGGCGGCATCGCTGGGTCCAGTCCTCCTCCTCGCGTGGCCACTGCTGGGCTTGCACCTGGAAGGACGGTCACTGTCCTCGGGCGCCGTGGGCTCGGAGGGTCCCTGTCCCGCCGGCCGCTCCTGGCCCAGACCCGGCTCCCAGGAGGCTGCACAGCCAGGAGGCCCCGCAGAGGGAATAGCGTGTTCTAGGAAAGGCCTCTCCCTGAAGAGCAGCTACTCAGAGCCCGTGCTACATGTGGGGTGTCTCTGAGATGACTGTGCTGGAAGTGGGGTGTCTCGGGGATGACTGTGCTGGAAGTGGGATGTCTCGGGGATGACTGTGCTGGAAATGGGGGTGTCTCGGGGATGACTGTGCTGGAAGTGGGGGTGTCTCGGGGATGACTGTGCTGGAAGTGGGGGTGTCTCTGGGATGACTGGTGGAAGTGGGGGTGTCTCGGGGATGACTGTGGTGGAAGTGGGAGTGTCTTGGGGATGACTGTGGTAGAAGTGGGGGTATCTCGGGGATGACTGTGCTGGAAGTGGAGGTGTCTCAGGGATGACTGGTGGAAGTGGGGGTGTCTTGGGGATGACTGTGGTGGAAGTGGGGGTGTCTCGGGGATGACTGTGCTGGAAGTGGGCCATGTGTCGGCGATGACTGAGGAGGGGAGTGTGGGTGGGGGCACCGCCCACTCTTGTGAATTCCCCGCGCGTGCTGCCCCGGAGCGGCTTGGACTGGGGGCTGAGTCACCTCTGCACGTGGAGACAGATGTGCTTAGACAAAGGGCCTCTGTCTGCCATAGAGACGGCCCCCAGCCCCCAGCCCTCAGGCCCCTCCTGCTGCTAAATTAGGGGTCAGAGAGGGCCTCGCCGACCAGGGGGTCAGGAGACTTGGTTTGGAGGCGCCGGCATCAAGGCTGGGGGGCCTGAGGGTTTAATGCAGCCGTTCCTCTCGCTGCTCTGCCGCTCCCAGCGCACGCCCGGTGCCGGGCCTCTCCCAGCAGATGGGCTCTGTGCTCACAGCATGCGCCTCGCTTCCCAGCATCCTGCTCAGCCCACCGATGCCCCGATCGCCTGTGGGCTCTGCTGGACACTCAGCTTCTGTCCGAGTGCCTGGGAGACCCCACCGCTTCGCACTTACACCTCCAGGCAGCGCTGCCTCTGGTGTGTGAGGGTCCGGGGCGTGTGAGGGTCCGGGGTGTGTGAGGGTCAGGGGGCGTGTGAGGGTCAGGGGGTGTGTGAGAGTCAGGGGGCGTGTGAGGGTCCGGGGCGTGTGAGGGTCCGGGGCGAGGGCACGGTGGCCGCAGGAGCGTCCAGTGAAGGGCATTGCCGCAGTAACCCCCCCCCCATGCCTGTGCTTGGCTCATAGTGCTCACCAGGTGACATTGTGGTGACCGCCCACCTTCTCACCCCCTCCTTCCCCTCAAACCCTCTCCAGGGAGAGGACACAGCCGCTAGCACAGGGACTCTGTGCGGTTTGCCATCCCCTCTGCCCTCTGACCCTTCTCTTTGTTAAAAACCACTGGACTAGCCCGCCAGTGGCTCAGTGGCGGAGCGTGGACCTAGCAACCAGAAGGTCACAGCTGATTCCTGGTCAGGGCACAGGCCCGGGTAGCGGGCTGGATCCCCAGTGGGGGTGGCGAGCAGGAGGCAGCCAGTCCATGATTCTCTCTCATCATGGATGTTTCCCTCTCCCTTCCTCTCTGAAAGCAATAAAATAAATTTAAAAACAACAACAAAACACACTGGACCAGGATGAAGGAAGGACAGGCTCTTTCCTCTGGCTAATCCTCACCAGAGGGTATTTGTTTTCCTTGATTTTCAGAGAGAGTGGAAAGGAGGGAGGGCGGGGGAGAGACACATCGATGGGGCGCCTCCCACCACACCCCAGCCAGGGCTGGGATTGAACCCACAATCCAGGTCTGTGCCCTTGACCAGGATGGAACCTGCAGCCCTTCGGTGCCAGGGCCGGTGTGCTAACCACTGAGCCACCGGCCTGGGCAAGACGGGCTCTTCTTTATCCCACGCCACGTGCGTGCGGCTCGACAATGCTGGATGGGGAGGAGGACGCCAAGGCCACGGCGAATGTGGGAGAGGCCCGCCCCGCACGCGGCAGCGCCAGCCCCGGGAACCCGTCCTCACCCCCACGTCTCCACTTCCTCCCGCAGGGACATGAGCACGTGGAGCTTTTTACATTGCACAGATAATAGGTGCGTGTTCTCACAAGGAGGCAAGCCATAATCACAGCCCATTAAGAATACTTTATGTACCAGCATTTTATTCAACATTTAACATGGATAACATTTTAAAGATGCAAAACCCGCCTCAGGATCACCATGTTGCTCTGGAGTGTGGAATCTTTCATTCATCAATCACAGCCGTGGCCTCTGCCCCGTCCCCTCCCGGCTCCGTCCCCCTCCGGCCCTCCCGGCTCCCTCCTGCTCCGTCCCGAGGCCCCTCCCGCTGCGCCAGGGCTTGTGAGGGCGCGTCTCTGGCTCCAAGGTGAAAAGCTGAAGACAGTAATTAGACAGTGAAGACGCTAATCCCATCACAGGGAATCTTCTTCATGGACAATGGGAAATTGTTCTCTGTAGGTTTCAAACTCATTTCAGTCAACACGGTTGTTGGCAGAACAGCCTGTGTGAGGGCAGCGCGGCCCAGGCTCTCCCCGCTCCCCAGGCGTTGCCACTGTTCCCCATCGAGCTCATTACGGCTGCCCTGGGCATTCTCAATTTGTTCCTATCAGAGACGATTGCCTCTGTGGTTTTCTCCAGAAACACTGCGCGTGGAAGGGAGGTCCCTCCAGTGACCGCCTGGGTGGAGAACGTGTTGTTCCCTACAAGGGCCTGGCAGCTGCGATGCTGTTCCATTCGCTTCTTCCTAAAAGGAGGCATTGCTTGCCACTGTCCCGCGGCGCAGCTGGGACGGGAGGGCAGGCTCGGTGCTGGTGCATCCCACAGACCAGGCATCGCCCTGACCACAGGCTCCGAGGGGCGTGGGAGATGCTACAGGAGCCGCTGGAGGACAGGTACCCGGCCCCACGCGCTGGGGTGGCAGACAGGGGCGGGCCGGGGCCACGGCCACCTCCCTGTGGGCGCTGGAGGAGGCAGGTGTCCGGAGGAGGTCAGCTGAGGTGGCTCTGGAGGGTGGGTCACCTGCCAGGACTCGGGGAAGGACATTTAGGCGGAAGGAGCCCACGGACGGAGCGTGGGGTGAAGACACCCTGGTGCATGGGGGAAACGGTGAGCCGTGCGTTTGGCTGGGCACCAGGGCCGAGGCAAGGATGGGCTCAGACCCGCAGAGCTCACCCACTTCTCCCGGGAGTGTGTTCTCAGCACAGTACCTTCCATGTCACGTGTGGAATGAACTGTGGACAGAACAGTTGTGGACGGGTGGACGGAGTGAGTGTAAAGGGGTCTGTGTGATGACAGTCGACGCATAACATGAAATAAGATGGAAAAAAACAAGGGCTCAGGCGTGTTTGTGCCTAGGACTCTGCTTGCTGAACCGACACGGAGCCAGCTAACTGACCGAGGACACTCGGTTCTCTCCGCAGACGCGGGACCATGTGGGCCTGGGTGCTGTGGGCGCTCCCTCTGCTCTGCCCAGGCGGCCTGGCAGGTAGGTGGGCTGTGCGCCTGCTGGGCTGGGCTGCGTGAGTCATTGCCTTCTCTGGACAGGAATTGCCCATTGAGAGCAGAGGGGCACTGGGCCCCGGGCACAGGAGGGGCAGCAGGGGGTTTGTGGGCCCTGCAGAGGGGGTTGGGGCCGTGTGCACGTGGATGTATGTGGACGCATGTGCCGACGTGGTAAGATGGCCTGTCATATTTCCCAAGGGACGGAATGAGAGTCTTCCCACGGCCCCGATGAGGAGAAAATGCCAGACCTCGCAGCTCACCAGCCAACCCCGCGTCCGGTCGCTGTTTTCCTCCAAGCGCTCGATGCTGGCATGTTCCCACGCACTGAAGTCTGTGTGTGTGTGTGTCTGTGTGTGTTTCAGCTCTGCCAGCCAAGCCCGAGAACATTTCTTGCATCTACTACTACGGGAAGAATTTTACCTGCACCTGGAGCCCAGAGAAAGAAGCCAGTCACACGTGGTACAGGGTCAGGAGGACTCAGTAAGTGCAGGGCTGTGTGCTGGAGGGAGGGGAGGAGGCGGGCTCAGGACGTCTGTGTTCTCAGTGACAGCTTCTGAGTGGCCCCTGGGCATTCAGCAGGGTGACCCCTCTGGCATCCAGCCGCCAGGTGATGGCGTGTGACAGTGTGGCTGCTTGCAGCCCAGCTGACAGGATCAGACACTGCAGGGGGGAAGGGGGAGGGGGTGGCTGTGGTCGGGCTGACAGCTGTCCCCGGTCACACACAGGGGACAGATCTATTTACTGTATTCAGCTGCATTCTTCCTCCTCGTAGAATGTGTGATAAAGCTTTTCTTCTTCGGGCCCAGGACTGGAGGGAGGGTGCCTTTTCTGCCACCAACTCGCTGTGTGATCCTGTCGTCAGTAACCACCAGGATGAATTCCAACTTTTCACTGCCTCACACTTCCCTTGTTCAAATTCTATTAGAAAAATTATAAAATCTATAATAATAAAAGCATAATATGCTAATTAGACCGGACAGCCTAACGACCTTTCAGACGTCCTTCCAGATGAAGCTGCCATGGCAGGGGCCAAGGCAGAGGCAGTTAGAGCTTAGGGGCAATCAGGCAGGCAGGCAAGTGGTTAGGGGTGATCAGACAGCCAGGCAGGCAGTTAGGAGCCAGCAGTCCTGGATTGCAAGAGGGTGCAGGCCAGGCTGAGGGACCTCCCCCACCACCCTGCACAAATTTCGTGTACCAAGCCTCTAGTGTTATTATAATTCCAGCCCAAAGCCAGGCGACTTAGTGAATGTGGACAGGGCTTCTGTGAAAATTTGAAAATAGCTCAGGAGACCCACTGCGTCCTCCATGCTGCTGGGAGCCAGAAGGCCCCGCGGGACCTGTCACAGATGGTCTGTCATTTTTTTCTGCTTCAAAGCGAGCCTAGCGGCCCCAGCTTTATTCTGTTTGGTGTTTAAATGCAAGAGCTCATGAATCCTCCTTTTTTTCACTCCTGTAACTGGTCACCGTCTGGCGAGGGGAGCCCACTCATGTTTTACAGAAGAGGGGCCAGTGCCTGGCGGCCCTGTGTCGGTGGCGGTGGCAGGCGTCCCCGGGGCCCAGCAGGGCCTGAGAGGCGAGAGCAGGTCTTAGGCTCCGAGGGAGGCAGCCTCTCGGACCAGCCGCCTTCCCAGCAGGAGAGCCGCGCACACAGTGGTAACCCAGGACCTGTTTCCAACAACACCTCCCTGTAGACACTGAATGTGCAGCCATGTACATCTTCACAGGCCACAGAATCGTCGTCCTTTCTCCTGACCGTTTAGCCATGGAGAGCTGGTGCTTAGCCTGCGGGCCACGCAGGACGGGGGGGCGGGGGGGGGGCTGCCTCTGACCTCCCGGCTATGGTTCGCCCACCCCTGGAAAGGCCCAGTGGCCCAGGGGCCACGTGACTTCCGCCTCCCGTACGCCCTGTTCCAGGTTCTCCTCTCCCGGCCCCAGCCTCATCCGTCTCTTGCCGAACCCCAGAGCCACGTGGCTAGAGCTGCACCCACGGGGCAGGGGGTCCTGCTGATGTGCGTGCGGGCTTGTCCTGAGCTTATAGCTGGACAGAGTTTAAGTGATCTGTCTTGGAAAATAATTTCAGTGAGTTTTCTGAAAATAGTATAACCTATGGTAAATAATTTGATCTGAAAGACAAAGAATATTAAAAATCACCCCAAAGCCCATCACCAAAGGTAGCAACTTTAGCATTTTGATGATGACCTTTCCAGATACCTCTAAGAATAGTTATGTAAATGCACAAGTTGATATAAATGTGATTATTTGGTAGATAACACGCATCCTGCTCTTTTTCGCCAATAAGAGTATGGACATCTTCCCGTGTGAGTAAATATCGACGTATTGAAAACTATCATTTTAAATTCTATTTCTGTATCTGCCATCATTTATTTAACAAATCCTCTTTGATTCTTTTCTGTTATGAAGCAGTTCCCAAGGTTAGAATCTGGGATTCTAGGGGCCCATTCATCACTTGTGACCAATAGGAAAGGCATGACAAGGGTAGCTTGCGAGGGCTTGTGGGGCCCAGGGAGTCTCCGTGGCCTCAGCCTCGGCAGCAGCGTGCAGTGAACTGCATCTCTCCGTGGAGGGGAGGGAGGACTGTGCGGAGAGGGGGTACCACCCTTTGGTCTAACAGTTCTCAAGAGAAACCCAGACGGAACCTAACAAATACGCCCTTAACACGGTACGTCTGGCTGGGTTTCCACACTCTGAAGCAGCTCACACTGAGCCACTTTTTCCTCCCAAGCTCTTATGGACGTAAAAGTGACACTTGTGATTCTACAAGCGAGACCCCCACTTCGTGCTCCTTCTTTCCTCCAATAACAATCCCAGACAATTACACCATCCAAGTGGAGGCTCAGAATGCGGACGGGACCGTGGAGTCTGCCGTGACACATTGGCGCTTAGATACCATAGGTGCGTGTTATTGGCTACCTTCTCTGCTCTTTTCTCAAAGATACCACCTCCCCCTTCTTTTGTTCATCCTCACCTGGGGTATTTTTTACCACTGATTTTTAGAGAGAGTGGAAGGGAAGGGGAGACAGAAACATCGATGTGGGAGAGACCCATCTATCGGTTGCCTCCCGCATGGGGCTGGGGATAGAGCCTGCAACTGAGGTACATGCCCTTGACTGGAAATCGTACCCAGGACCCTTTGGTCCATGGGCTGACGTTCTATCCACTGAGCCAAGCCGGCCAGGGCGAGGGGACCTTTTCTTGATGGGGTGTTCATTTGGCTGCTGCAAACCAGACCTCTGACTGTTTCCAGAGCTCTGACCAGATCAGTGGAAGCACTTTCTGTGGGTTTTTGCCTGTTTGTTTGTAGTGTTTCTATGGGGGAACGAAACCTTGGAATTTCCTCGCCATCGTTTTGCTGACATCACTCAGTATACATCGGTTCTCAATGAGCAGTTCTGCGGGTGAAGATTAATGACACGTCTCCTGGGCGACATACTTGTGCACAACAGGGATTGTGTCCAGGCTGACGGGAGGAGCCTGGTTTCCTGGGAAGGGCGGGGTTTTGGAGTGGGTGCAAGTGAATTCCAGCTTGGCTCCCAGGAGAAAGTTAACCTTCAAAACCCCAGTGTTACCTTCTAACAATGAGGATAGCACCTGTTAGGGGGCTGAGAGGCGCTGCTGCAATGATGAGGAGCTGCAATTGGTGGAGCTTGTTTGGAAAGCAAACGGCAGGTGTGGGAGCCACTGACACATGTTCACACCTTTCACTGGTGGTTCTGCCCTAAGCGGCCTCAGGAAGCCACGGAGACCAGACAGAGGTGCAGCTGTCCCCCTCACTCACTCACCCAGCAAAGCCCCTGCCTCCTGGGCCAGGTGTTCATGCCGGCTCTGTGCCCGCACAGCTCCGCTCCAGGGAGCCTTACCGTGAGAAGCCGGGAGCACTGTGAACGCCCAGTGACAGAGACCAGGGCAGACAGATCCTGCTCACCCAGGAGATGGAACATTCGGAAGCTTGGAAACAATCATGTTTTGAAGACTTTGTAATGAAAGAGGGCGCATATGCTGATTGCATAATTTTATTTAAAAGAGGAAGCCTCGATCTAGCTGGTTGCTCAGTGGTTAGGATGTCGGACTGGAAGGTTGCAGACTCGATTCCTGGTCAAGGGCACGTACCTGGTTTGCAGATTCAATCCCTGACCTGATTGAGGACCAAGCATGAGGCAACCAATCGATGTGTCTTTCTCTTTCTCTCTCTCACCTCTCTCTCCCTCCCTCCCTCCCTCCCTCCCTTCCCTTCTACTCTCTAAAAATCAATGGAAAAGGAATTCTCACTCCTCAGGTGAGGATTTTAAAATTAAAAAAAGAGAAAGGCTTTATTTAGCACATTAATATTTTTTTTGAAAAATATGCCAAGAGTTACATAGAAAAAAGCCTGAAAAGATACCTGTGTGTTAATAATGGTTATCTCTGGTTGATGGCATTATGGATCATTTAATGTTTTCCTTTGTATTTTTCTATGTTTAAATTTTTTTGAATGAGCATATGTTACGTAATAACCAGAAAAAATACACATTTTCAAAGAGAAAGATTTGGGACAACAATGTTTGTGGTGCTCAGAGGCGAGGCGAGGCGAGGAGCTTCCCACGGGCACGGGCACTCCGTCCTGGTGCCAGGAGAGGCGGGCAGGGCGTGGCGATGGCGGGCCGCCCACTTTGCAGTCCACGGCCTCTTCTGTCCGTTCTGCTCCATTCGCCTGGCCCAGCAGCAAGAGGCTGATTTACAGAGACGACAGGGATGTGTGCTCCCGCCTCGGACGTTCCTTCCCCCCGTTTGCCATTGCACCTGCCACAGCCGGCACAGAGCACGCACCAGCACTTCCCCCGGGGGCGTTCTGCAGTTGGGGTAGATGCTATGAGCACGTTCTGATCCGCGAATATGATTTTTATTTTCAGTAAAAATGGACCCACCTGTGATTTCCAGTGTGAAACCAGTTTTGGGCTTCAAACGGATGCTTCAGATACAATGGGCCAAGCCTGAGCTGGCCCCCGCCTCTTCCGCGTTGCAATGCAGGCTTCGGTTCAGAACAGCGAACAGCACCCACTGGGTAAGTCATGCCACGGGGTGTTCCGACCAGGGCCCAGAGCGGAGGTGACTGGCCGCTGGTGTCGAGCTGGACTCGCTCTCTCTTCTCTGCAGTGAGAACGGAGACAGAGCGCAGCGCGCCCTCCCGCCGCCCTCGGTGGGAGCGTTTCCCCGCAGGCGCCTGCATGCTGAGCGCCCGGCACGTAGAGACCTTCCTTTTGCATCCACCTGGTTTGTGTCTCGCTGTGTTGGCTGCCAGAGGTGCTGGGCGTGGCATTTCCTTTTCTATGTTATGAAACTGTGAGATAAAATACACATTCGGCAAAGTGAGCGGAACCTAATATGCACTTAACAGACTGTCATTGTCAGCTTAGCCATATGAGCGCCTCAGTGCTTGTCAGCTCCCGGGAGCTGCTGTCCTGGTTTTCGTGGTCAGTACTTTGCTTTTCAGTAAGGGCTCAGTCTGTACTCCTGAACGACGTAGTTTGAGACATTATATAAATGGAATCCATACATTTAGTACTTAGTTTGTCTCTCTCGTTACTGTGCCTTCAAGACCCATGGGGTCATGTGATGGTGGTGCTCCTACTTTTCACGGCCGTGTAGTGTCCCGCTGTCTGGACACAGAGTAGACTCACGGCTGGGGTTTGCATACACCCGGCCTTACTGAGGTGGCATAGCTTTCCGCCAGGGGCTCCCCGCCCTGGACCCAGAACCATGGGAGCTGGGGGCTCCCCGCCCATGACCATGGCTAAGCTTGTGAGGAGAGGTTCCTGTGGCTGAGTGGGCGGGCGGAGCAGCCCCGTTCCCGGGGGAGGCAGGTGGGGTCTGGGACCCAGGCACCTGGGCCTCCTTTCGGGCCTCAGTTCAAACCCTGACGGCGCCTCCTGTTTGGGTGCGAACGGTCCTGGCCTGCGGGGAGGTTCATTTGTGGACGTTACACATGGTAAATGGTAGGATCCAAGCTCTAACACTCCTGGTTCTGTAAGCTAAGGGAGGGCTGGAGTGAAGAGAAATGGAAAGCTCACTGGTCTCCATCCAGCTCAAGGGCGTCTCTGCCTTGTAGATGGAAGTCAGCTTCTGGGTCGAAGAGACCGAGGGAAACCAAACCTACAACCTCACGGGGCTGCGGGCCTTCACGGAGTACAAGGTAGCGCTGCGCTGTGTAGCCCAGGAGTCCGCCTTCTGGAGCGGCTGGAGCCCCGTGCACAGCGGGACCACCGAGGAGGAAGGCAAGCGCCCCGACCCCCTCGTCCCCCTCTGCCTGCTTGGGGCGGGTGGTCGGGAACCAGGGAACCCCCAGTCCCGGAGCCGGGTGTCTGGGCCTTTCCTCTCAGCAGGGCCTCCCCGGCCACAGGCTGAGCCGGGCCCCAGGGCGTCGGCTACCCAGCAGCTTTCTGTCCCGAAGGCAGGAACCCCAGGACGTGTGAGTGTATAATACTTAACAACCTCCTGCGACAACTTAAAGGTTCTATTGCAGACCCCGGAGCTCCTGCTCACCATATAAAGGCAGGGCTGACTAATGCGGGGAAGAGAAAGGACCCCACTGGCTGAGGAGCCCCAGCCTGGCTCCGCGGGACCTCGGACAGGACTGTTCCCTGAGCCTCAGTTTCCTGACTATCCCTTCTCCACATGGAATATGTGGTAGAATGGAGTTTGTTGAGGTACCTACTTGTCAGTGTTAGTTTAGGGAGTGAGTGAAATCGTGTGTGCAGCCCACAGATGCCACCCAGTAATGCCAGGCTTCCTGTTATTATTTGCTCCCCCTGGAGGCCCTATCGCATGTGCAGACCCGCCTGTGGAGGTGAGGGGCGGAGCTGCAGAGGCTGACAGGCTGCTCAGGGCCCGAGATGTGCTGTTCTCTGTAAATCAGGAGCCTGTGGGGCCTGACCCCCAGCCGGCAGCCAGCACCATGTGGTGAATGAATGCGTTTTCCAGGGCGGCTCTCACAGGCCCCCGAGTTTCACGGGCTGGAGTCCCCGCGTGGTCAGGGCGGTTTTCATGGAGACAGGACGCAAGTCCAGGTGTCCTCAGGGCGGTTTCTCTGGAGACAGGACAGAAGTCCGGGTGTCCTCAGGGCAGTTTCCTTGGTCCCCGCTTGCCACACTGTGGGGCCAGCAATCTGGAGACCAGGTTCCCTCGGGGTCTTGTCTGCACAGCCTGCCTCCTCCCGTGGCTGTCACTCCTCCCGTGACCTCCTGGCCCCTATGGCTCAGTCTCCCGTTAGCTCATCGAGGTCTGGCCTCTCTCTAGTGTCCGTGTCAGCCCCAGGCTGTCGGCCAGGATCCAGACTCAGCCTGGCAGCTGATCGGTCTGCGGCCATGGCTGCGGGTGATCGCCGCCCAGCAGGTGCTCCCGTTCTGGGACTGGGCTCATGCAGTCAGCACTGCCCACCAGGTGGCCAGGGGAGCTGGTGCCTTCGTTTTCCCTCATTTTTTCAGGAAATGAGTGGGCGTGCACCTCTTGTAATTGTTTGGAATATCTAAGCGGAAACACTACCTGTTTCCTTGTGGATTCCAACTCGTTGAGTGCTGGGCATTTACCCGCGTGTGAACAGGTGCATACTCCTGTGTGACACTCGGCTTTATTGCTCATGCGCTTACGGCCCAGGCGGTGCGCCTCCTACCACTGTCCTCACAGAGACAACGTGGGCTCAGCCAGTAGCTGGGCCGGTCTCCCAGGAGCTGGGCCGTGTCCTGAGGAAGGAGCTGGAACTGTTAGGTTTCATGTGTGACCTCATCTTTATTCCACTGCGATGTATCTACCAGCCCTGCCAGGAAGGTCTTTATTAAACTGAAGACAGAGCAGCCAGTGCCTGGCCTTAGCAGGGAGAGCAGCGGGCTGGTTCCAGCCAGTCTGCAAGCCGCGGAGACCGAGCGCCTCCCGGACATCAGCCCTGCGCAGGCTGCGAGGTCCGGACCCTCCCCTGCCCCCACAGCTGGGAGCACGCGGCTCCATCGCCCACTTGCGGTCTGTCCGTTCCCCTGCGTGGCCGTCAGGCATCCCAGCTGGCTGCAGGCAGATGATCTCAGAGGAGTAAGATGGCACAGCAATCCAGCACTGAGCCATACGTTCCCTCCCAGGGGCTGATGGCACCTTCTTCTGAGCTCACGGGAAGTCCTCAGAACCAGGGCGGTTTAATGTCTTCCTGTGGTTGATTCCAATCCTGCAGCCACGCCGTTCCCACCTCACTGGTCACAGCAGCACTGATCCTGCTGTCTCCCCAAGCAATCCCTTCCATGGCACCGAAACCTAACCCTTCCTCCCCCTCCCCTTCCCTCCCCCTCCCCTCCGCCTCCTGCCCGTGCTGAGCCTGTCTGTTCCCTGCAGCTCCCCTGGGCCTGGACCTGTGGAGGGTGCTGGGACCCACCCGGGAGGATGGGAGCCGCCCCGTGAGGCTGCTGTGGAAGGTGAGTGCTCTGGGGTCTTCAGTCCTCGTTTGTTTATAACCTGGGTCTCTTCCACCAGAAACTGTGATTCTTGAACTTTGACCTCTTGAATTTCCTGCCCAAGAGGCTTTATGATGCCCCAGATCTCCCAGTGGTTTCCCAGCTCAGAGCCTGTAGGTCACTTTATAGGGCTAGGGTTAGGGCTAGGGTTAGGGTTAGGATTTAGGGTTAGGGTTAGTGTTACAGGTTAGGGTTAGGATTTAGGGTGAGGGATAGTGTTATGGGTATGGTTAAGGTTAGGGTTAAGGTCACCTTGCAGGTCCTGGGTTGCATTCAGGCCCTGGCCCTCTGTCCTTCCACGTGGAACATGGACCTCAGGACAGTGCAGAGGGAAGCGCAGAGGCACTGGCCGTGGGTGGGAGCCTTGTGGGCCATCTGCAGGCGGAGGCAGAGCAGGTGGAGGCTGGAAGGAAGCTGGGCCTCTCACCCAGGACTGAGGACTGAGAGCGCAGCCCATCAGGCTGGGTGCCTGGGTGCCTGGGGGTGGAGATACCCGTCAGGGCCTTCCAGGCAAGGGGTGACCCGCGGCCAGGACAGCCTGGGCTTGGCTCTGCGTTTAGCTCGTGTTCTGTGTCCATGTGGGACGGAGGGAAGACGCAGCGACAGGAAATGGGCACCCTGTGCAGGCCCGGCCCCCCAGCCCTGGGCAGGAGGCCCCGTTAACGCTGATGCCAAGGGCCCAGCACATCCCTCTCTGGCCCCAGAAGGGGGGGCCCAGCGCGGGTGCTGTTCACCCAGGAGGGGACCTACCTGCGTGTCGCTTGCACAAGAGCTGGCCTCACCCTTCTCCCCTCACCATCCATCACCGGCTCAGGGCCTTTCCTCTGTTGTTTTTGGCAATAAACTGGGTTTCCCGTGCTCAGAAGGCCAGAGGAGCCCCGGCCCTGGAGAGAGTACTCGGCTACCACGTCTGGTACTTTCCGGAAAACACCACCAACCTCACGGAGACCATGAACACCACCCGCCAGCCGCTGGAGCTGACGCTGGGCGCCGAGGCCTACCGGGTGTCGGTGGTGGCCTATAACTCGCTGGGCCAGGGTCCGGCCGCCGCCCTGCGCATCCCGGCCGCCACCGAGGAGGGTGAGTCCCACGTCACCTCCTGCCGAGATGCCGCCGTCCAGGGGGCCAGGGCGCCACGGTGGCTGCCTCTCAGTGAGGGTGACAGCCGAGGAGAGGCCGCGAGGTTCTGGTGGGAGGGGCGGCATCTGCTGACCAATGAGCCCCTGGAGGTTGGTCCTTCGGGCGCAGCCTGTGATGAGTCAGACTCATCAATCGCGTGACGCAGAGAGGCCTGGCCGCACGTTCCACGTGCAGCTTGTTCTGTCCAAGGTGTGGGCGCTGGCCGAGCCTGCACGCGGGCACAGTGCCACAGCCACACGTGTGCTCCGTGCCTGGGCTCTCCCGAGGCCCCCGCGTCGTGGGCACTGACCTCGTGCGCGCCCGCCCGCTGCTCGCTCCCATTCCCCTTCGCCTCCACTGATGACCCCGCGGGCACCTGGGCCTCCCCGTGGAGGTGGCGGCTGTGAGCCAGGGGCAGGGGAGGAGCCCCGGATTCGGGGTGGACTCTGGCTCAAGCTCCTGCCCCGCCCGCCTCGTCCAGGCTCCATGTCCTCAGGGGCTCCTTCTGGCCGCAGGCTGGCAGTCACTGTGACTTGAGGGCACCTGCAAAGGTGAGTCCTCGAGTCTCAGTGCCGCAGCGAGAACACCTTCTGGGAGAAAAGGGAAGATCAGAGGGCACTCGATCAGCGAAGGTGGGCGGGGAAGGGACCATAAGGGGGTGAGGGCACCGCCACGGGGGTGCCAGGGGAGGCCCTGAGCCCTGGCTGCTCCCCGGCTCGGGTGTGAGCGGCGCCGAGGCAGCGGGCGTGTGTGGCGGCGGCGGGCGTGTGCGGCGGCAGCTGCGGGAACGCATTCAGAGGCTGGTCTGCCCCTCTGCCCGCAGCGTTCCCGGGCGTCAAGGCCGTGCAGGCCCACCTCTCGCAGGACCAGCTGGTGGTGGCGTGGCAGAACTCCACTCCGCACGTGGACTCATGGAGGGTGGAGTGGTCCCCCGATCTGGACTCCGAGCCCCCCACCGTGCGCTGGGAGGCGGTGACCGGGGCCAGGAACTGGACGATCCGGAGAGGTAGCCACGCCCCCTGAGGAGATGTGCTCCTTCTCACTGTCTCCACGTCCTTCGAGGAGGCGCAGGCGGGAACGTGATGCCAGCACTTGGCGGGCTGGGCGCGCACTTCTCGGCTTTCCCAGCGCGGCTGGACGGGCACATCAGATAGCCTTCCCAGACCCCCCGACCATGTGGGTGGCCCCAGCGTTGGTCCATCTGTCCGACCGGCCCCTTCGGTCTGGCCCCTGTTTCAGAGCCGGCCCCTCCCCAGGGGCTTGGTGCCGGGAATGCCTTCCCTTCAGGGAGGCCCCTGATCCGTGTGGGACTGAGTGAGGTCGTAGCCGCCCACCAGCCGAACTTCTCCTGCTTACCGTCCTGCAGGGGAGACCTCACCGCAGGGACGCAGGCCGAGAACCGGGCCCAGGGCGTCCGCCAGCACAGGATGTGCAGGACAGCACCTGCGCCACAGCTGGGCCCGGTGGAGAAGGGTCTGTCTCACTTCTCCTTCCGGGGGGCCATCCTTTCGTCAGAGGGTGCAGCTTTCGTTCTAAGAATTAATTTAAAAATGTTAGGACAGGAATAGATGCTGGACCCTCTGACCTGACTTCCCCATTTTCCAGTGGGCATCAGAGGAATAGGAGAGCTTGTGCAAGTCTCTCAGGCTAGCATTTCCTATCTGCCACACCCTGCGTGTAATGCTTGCTTTCTCTCTTACAGATGAATTAGACCCTCTCCAGTGCTATAACATCTCCGTGTATCCAATGTGGCAAGACCGTGTGGGCAAGCCGTGTTCTGTCCAGGCCTACGCCAAGGAAGGCGGTGTGTGGGGGTGGGCCCTGGGGCTGGGGGAACTGGGGCCTGTCCAGTCACAGCCGATTTCAGAGCAGGAGGGAGAGGGAGAGAGAAACATCAATGATGAGAGAGAATCACTGATCAGCTGCCTCCTGCACGTCCCCTCTGGGGTTTGAGTCCGCAACCTAGGCGTGTGTCCTGACCGGGAATCGAACCGTGACCTCCTAGCCCACGGGGAGGGCGCTGGGGGCTGGTTGGGTGCTCACAGTCTCTCCCCTTCTCATCAAGCCCCGTCAGTAGGTCCCGTGACCAAGGTGGAGGGCATCGGCGTGAACACTGTCACCATCAGGTGGGAAGAGATCCCCAAACATCTGAGAAACGGCTTCATCCGCAACTACACCATCTTCTACCAGCCCTCGAGCGGGGAGGAGTTCGGTGAGCGGCTTCCAGCACGTGAAAACCCCAGGACCCACGGGAGGGGCTGCCACCTCTCTGCGTCCCTCGGCTCCCCTGGCCCCTCCGCAGATGGGGGCGGGTGCACCCCCGATTGAGGTTTTGGAATCAGATGAGAGGGGAGTGTCAGTCCCTGCAAGTCTGTAGGACCCGGGGGTTAATCCGATGTGCTGGTTGGGCTCGGACGGTGCGCCTCCTGGCAGCTCCTGGCTGTATTCCCGCCGGGCTTGCCAGTGCAGCGCGGGCAGACCCGGGCGCTGGCACTCAGCTCGGAGACGGCTCCTTGGCGCCACGCCTCCTGTCCCTGCTGAGTCACCTTTTCTGGGATCCACACTCTCTGCCGACACCTGCCTTCTGGGCGAGGCTGAGAGTCCTGTCGAGGCTGATTTTTGTTGTGATAAACGCACCACCTCACCGTTTGGAAGTGCACGACCACGGGCGTTGGGCAATCCGCGTGTCCTGCCCCTGTCTGCCCCTGCGCCGAAATGTGTCCGTCAATCAGTCCCTTCCTGCCGCCTCTTCCCGCGTCCCGACACCCACAGCACCGCCTGTCCTGTGCACGCACCTCGCTGATCCCATAGACGTGGAGTCAGCCTGCGTGCCTGCTGGGCCTCACTCCTTCCACTCACAGTCGTGTCTCCAGTTTGCCCGGGTGGGCGGGTGGGCGAGTCCTCGGCCTTATCGCCGAGTGGTACTCTGGTGTGGACAGCCCACGCTTTGTTTATCCTTCGTGGGTGGCATTGGGCCGTTTCCGCCTCGGCCACAGTGATGGGTGCTGCTGTGAACATGCCTGATGGGGTCTTGGCAGGAACGTCTGTGTGCAAATGTCTGTGTGAGTCCCTGCTTTGAACTCTCTGGGACAGAGGCCTGGGAGAGGGCTCCTGGGCCGTGCGATGCTTCTAGCTTAGCTTCTCACAGAACCAGACTTGGCGCCGCGGCCTCACATGCGCAGCGGCCAATGAGGACTCCAGTCTCCACCCCTTACCCACCCTGGCTATTGGCTGCTTAGAAACCATCATGGCTGTCCTGGCAGTACAGGTGCTGCCTTGAGGTGGCTTTGATGGGCATTGGTTGGCACTTTCTTCGGAACTAACCGTGCTGAGCATCGTGGCATGTGCTTGTTGGCCGTTGGTGTGCCTTCTCTGGAGAAAGTCTCTCCTGGCCCATTTCTCAGTTGTCTTTCAGTTATTGAGTGGTAAGAGCTTTTAAAATGTACTCTGGATACAAGTTCCTAATCAGATACCTGATTCACCAATATGTTTCCCGTTCTGTGGGTTGCCTTTTCACTCTGATAGTGTCATTTGATGCACAGAAGCTTTTAATTTTGATGAAGTCCAGCTGAGTCTGTTTTCTTCTGTTGCCTGTGTGTTTGGTGTCAGACTGATTCTTCCCAGCTTGCCTGCTGGAGTCCTGTAGTTTGGGTTCCTATACTGGGCCCTCGGTCACCTTGATAAGCTCGTCTTGAGGAAACGCAGGTTAGGGTGTGAGCTGCCCAGCCTGGTTCTTACTCAGTCGGACCTGCTGTGTGTTTCCTTCAGCCAAGACGGTCGGCGCCAGCACCCTGCAGTGTGGCCTGGAGTCCTTGACGCGCAGGACCTCTTACTACGTCTGGGTCATGGCCAGCACCAGCGCCGGCGGGTTCAACGGCACCACGATCAACTTCAAGACGCTGTCCATCAGTGAGTAGCCCTCCCGCCCCGCGCGTCCCCGCCTTTCTCTCCGGCCGTGGGAGGTGGCCTTGCCCAGGCAGGGTGCCCCTGGGAGGGTGGCCCGCAGGGTGAAGAGCCACCTGCTGGGGTGGGCACAGGGGCACCTGGAGGGCCCTGGGCGAGGAGAGGAGGGAGGGCAGGGATACCGAGCTGAATTCAGAGAGACTGGCCATTGGCTCCTTCCTCGCGGGCGGCCCCAAAGCACCTTGAGGAGGAGGTTCAAGCTCATGCCAATTTCACTCTCAGCCCCGAACCAGCTGTCACTCAAGACCGTCCCCTCGTGTCAGAGGTTACTGGGTGGTGGGGCTCAGAGGGGGGTCTTGGTGGAACGAGCACCATTGGAACACAGGCAGGGACTTACCCTCAGCATTTTGGAGCTTTTTAAGCAAAAAAGTACATCCTATGTTCTACTTCCCAGCATTTACATTAGAAACAGGAAGCAAGAAACTCTAATCGATACGGCAACAGTATCAAATGCATTGTAGTGTCACAAGATGGTTGTGAGGAACGGTCACGAGAGACAGAAGATGGGACGAGGAGGGAGGTGAGGGAAGAGGAGGGGGTGGGAGAAGTGGAAAGCCGTTCGTGTTCCCACCTCCCGGGGCCGAGAGCTGAGATGGAAGGAGGTAGTGACACGGTGCAAAGGAAGGAAGTTGCTGTCGCAGCTGATGGAGCTGCTGTCAGGGGCTCAAAAGCCTCTTGCTCGTCGCCTTTTCAAAAGTCTGGGAGCAGCTTACGTTCTGGAAGGTGTGGGTGTAGAATGTGTCTTTGCTGAGGAAACATGTTCTGCTCATGGACTAACGCTGCCTTTTTGGAGTTCTTCCTCAAATTGCTCTTTGCATCTTTTAAAGTCGTGTTGTGTGTTCACGCCGCGGGGCTCAGGCTGTGTTAGCTGATGGCGTTGTCTCCAGGGTCACACGGGGCAGGAGCCGGCCTCGGCCTGGGCGCTTCTGGGGCTTGGTCTGCAGAGGACGGGGCGCTCGGCTCTGTCCCCGAGCCCCAGACGAGTCCCACAGGGCAGCCAGAGTGCAGACCTCAGGCCCTGCCTGCTGCCCACCAGCAGCTTCTGTTGTTTTCAATGAAACCCAGACTCCTGCCCTGGCTGTCGCCACACCTGCCCACCCCACCCTCCGCTTCCTGTGGCTGCTTCCAGGCATCTGCACCACCCGCTGGACGCCTTCCCACGTCTTGGTCTTTCGGGGGCTCCTTCTCCCCACCAGCAGGAGCCCACGCTCGCCTCCCGCCTCTCCCTCTCGGAGGAGTCGGTGTGACGGTCTGAGTCTCCCGGGACGTGCCCGCGAGCGGGGCCGTGGGTTCTTGCTTGTTGCGTTGGTTTTCTTACCCGAACCGTGTTTGCTCCACAAGCAGCCACTCGGAAGGAAGCAGGAGGCTGGGCCTGACCACAGTGCCCGTCCACACCGCTCAGGGGGGGAGAGCAGGGAGGGGGCGACGGCGCTGACTCTGTCCTTCCCCAGGTGTCCTGGAGACCTGCCTCGCGGCGGCGCTGGGCGGGGGCGGGCTGCTCATCCTCAGCGTCCTGGCTGCAGCCTGTGGCCTCCGGAAGCCCAAGTGAGTGTGGGAGCCAGGCTGCTGGCGGGGCGCCTGGTGGGGAGGGCACGCCACCTCGAGGCGGCGCCACTCGTTCCCCGGGCACACGTCCATGGCGTCCCTCACGTCCACGTCCCGGGCTCAGCAGAGCTCTGACCCCACAAGAGGACTGTCCCCCCCTGCCCCATGCACCTGCCCAGGCCCTTCTGAGGCCGACCCCGTGTGAGCAGCCGCGGGCCTCGTCTGACAAGGCCACAGCTTGTCTCCCAGGCAGAGCCAGGAGCGGTGACCCCGGACCCGTGGAGTTCGGGCGCTGGCCAGCCAAGTGCTGGGCACAGAGGGCTCCTGGCTGGCGGGGCGGAGCCAAGGGCTGGCGGTGGGGGCGGGGGGGGGCGGGGGGGGGGGGCGGCTGGCCACCACCGGGGAAGGAAGCTGTCTTCAGGGTGCGGTGCTGCCGGGCCCCAGAGAGCCTCCTGCCATCAGGGAGCTCAGGGCTCCTTCCCCAGAGGCCTCCCATCTCCCCGAGCAGCTGGCAGTCATGGTCCTGCCCTCGTCAGCCAAGCCCCGGCAGGTTGTAGCCAGGGCTCCAGGGCAGGCTCGTGTTGGACAAGTCCCTGGGCCTTAGCACTGCTCTCCCCCGATCACCCTCAGAAGAAGGCCTTGGGGGGCTGTGGGGGCTGGGACGGGGGGGGGGAATTCGCTGTGAGGGGCAGGTCTCTTCCCCCAGGTCCCCGTGTGACTTGCATTTCACCCCGACACTGCTTCGCTTCCCCTGTCTGAGCCAAGCGAGCCGGGCTGCCCTTCTGTCCCAGGGGCCAGCGGCTCCCGAGCAAAGCCCTGGCCCAGCCCCGCCCTCCGTGCATGGACTCACCCTGTGTGAGCACCTCCTCTTCTCGGCAGGTTCAAACGCCTGTGTTGGCCGGACGTCCCCAACCCTGCGGAGAGCAGCCTGGCCGCGTGGCGAGGCGGGGACCTCAAGGTGAGCACGTGTCTGACCGGCAGCCACTGCTGGGCCGGCAGTGGGCACAGGGGCTGGGCTGGCGGAGCTTCCTGTGGGTTCCTGGGCTGGGAAAGTGTCCTCAAACTTTAAGGCAGGGGGTGCCTAGCGAGTGGCTCACACGTAGAAACCTCCTTTCTCATACGTTTTAAACTGAAAACGGTTCTGCAAATGTTAAGGCTGAATTCCTTAAGTAAAAATAAGCCCAATCAGATATAACCTTCAAATCCTTACCATCGAAACCTTGTTTCCGGCAGTTCTTGGTGCAGGAGGTTTAATATTAGCCTCTGCTTCAACTCGGAAGTCTCAGTTGAGCATGGCATTTAACTGCGGACATTGCAGAAATCACTTTTACTGAGTTATTTTAGTTATTGTTTTGATTTCTGTCTTCTCCCTCCTTTAGCATGACCTTTTTGTTTTCCTACTTATTAAAAGTCCCCGGGACAGTAAGTGAGTTCACAGGCGATGCTGCCCGGCACCTAAATGCTTCCTGAAGGATCTGTAGGTCTGGCCTCCATGGCAGCACTTACCTGTCTCTCGCTGCCTGGCAGGTGCCGGACTGGGGGCTGGGGGCTGGGCCTGGGGCAGGGGCGGGGCCTGGCCATGCACAGATGACGGGATGACATTGTCCTGCCAGGGGCCACCTTGAGTTTCGGGTGACGTGGGACAAGCCGTTGACTTTGTGATCATGGTTTTCCATATGAAAGCGTTCGGTCATGCTCTCCTCTGAGCTGGGTGTGCAGAGGATTGTGGGAAATAGCCTCGAAGTGTCTAGAACGGGGTGGGCAAACTTTTTGACTCGAGGGCCACAATGGGTTCTTAAACTGGACCGGAGGGCCGGAGCAAAAGCATGGATGGAGTGTTTGTGTGAACTAATATAAATTCAAAGTAAACATCATTACATAAAAGGGTACGGTCTTTTTTTTTTTTTTTAGTTTTATTCATTTCAAACGGGCCGGATCCAGCCCGAGGGCCGTAGTTTGCCCACGGCTGGTCTAGGGACAAGGTGTTGGAAGGCATTGTGTTCCTTCTCAGGAAAGGGGCCAAGCTGTTATGGATGGGCACACGGGCGTGAGGGGCCTCCACGCTGGTCTCTGGGGGGAGCGTGGGGCTTGGGCATGGGGTGTCCCGAGCCCAGTGAGCCTTGGGTTACTCCTCTTTAGCCCCCAAATGACCCCTGGGGGTGCCCCTTCTCTTTTCCAGGATAAGCTGCACCTGAGGGAGGTTGATGATGCCGTGAGCACAGAGGACAGGATTCTCAAGCCCGGGGCTGCCCCCAGCGACCTCATTGACAAGTTGGCGGTGAACTTCGAGAATTTCCTGGAAGAGGTTTCCGCAGAGGAGGCGGAAAAGGGCCAGGAAAACATCCTGGGAGGGGACAAGAATGAGTACGTGATCTCCCCTTTCAGGCCTTACTGTCTCCTGGAGCCACTCACTGCAGCCGAGGCCCCACCCACTGCAGCCGAGGCCCCTCCCACTGCAGCTGGGGGCCCGCCCATGGCAGCTGAAGTCCCTCCCACTGTAGCTGAGGTCCTGCCCATGGCAGCCAAGGCTCCTCCCACCTCATCCAAGGCTCCGCCCACTGCAGCCGAGGCTCTACCCACTGCTGCCGAGGCCCCACCCACTGCAGCTGAGGCCCCTCCCGCTGCAGCTGGGGGCCCGCCCACTTCAGCTGAAGTCCCTCCCACTGTAGCTGAGGCCCCGCCCACAGCATCCAAGGCTTCTCCCACTGCAGCCAAGGCTCCGCCCACTTCATCCAAGGCTCCGCCCACTGTGGCCGAGGTTCCGCCCAGAGAGCCCCAGTGCCTGTGCTCTGGCAGCTGGGAGGGCACCTGCCCAGAAGCTGAGGAGCGACTTCTCCCTTCTGCCCAGGGCCCAGGGCCCGCCTGCGCCTGCGAGGAGGGGGCGCTCAACCCGTATCTGAAGAACTCGGTGACCACCAGGGAGTTTCTCGTGTCTGAGGAGCTTCCAGACCAAACCAAGACCGCCATCTAGAGGCCACACCGGCGTCCCTCTGCGCCGGGCGACCTGCAGGGCGGCATCCCAGCTGCATCTTCACATCCATCCGCTCAGGTCTCGCCTGCCTCTGAGCGCGAGCCGCGCAGAGGGACCCCCAGAGGGAGGAGGGGTGCGGAAGCCCAGCATTTGTCCAGGAAAAGCCCTGTCGTTCCTTTTGCTCCGATAAGCTCCTGCGGAGGCCGGCACAGCCTGGCTGGGGGACGGGGGCCCAGTGGCCGGTCAGGGTCACGGCCTGGCGGCCACTCCTCACAGCCCAGGCACATTTTCCCGTGGCCAGGGCAGTGGTCTCGGTGGCTCCTGGGGAGGGTGATGGAGGGAGCGTCTCCCATCACCGCAGCCTCCCCGGGCCCCGGCCGCCCCCCTGAGTCCTCACTGATGTCTGTCCCTCCTCGCCACCCCTTACGTCTCCAGGTCCGCAGCAGCACCCCCACAGCCCCTCCGCCGGCCCACAGACCCGGCGCTGCCAGGTCACAGGCGATTCCTGGGCACGGGCTCCTGGCGTGGCCAGCAGGTCTGCCCCGTCTCCAGGCCACTGCCCAGCGCAGACCTCGTTCCCAGGGGCCCCTCTGCCCCCCGTCTTGCCCGAAACCCGGGGTAGAAAGACACCCCCATTTCAGGGGCTTTGCATTGAACCTCAGCTGACTCAGTGCCGGGCAGGCTGGTGGACACACCCTCAGAGCCTCTGCCCAGGACAGCTGCTGCCTCCACAGCAGGCCCTGCCTGTGCCCATGGAGCCCGGAGCTCGGACCCCTGGCAGTCAGGGCCCCCAGAGCCTCTGTGCGGACGGCAGGGGTCAGCTGCCCTGACCGGGGACTGGGGTTGGCGCTGGGCTGCAAGGACGCCAGATGCGGCTGCCGTGTGGCCGGAGGCTGGTGGCATGTTCTCCCGGGAGGGGCAGTCCCGGGGGGGGCTCTCGGCCACCCGCTCAGCTGTGCAGACACATGACTCAACGTTCCTGTCACTGGAACCGGTTCCTGGCCCAAGGCCCTGGCACTGGCAGTGATGTGGCCCCGGTGGGATTCCCAGTGCTCACGTCTGTGACTCGGGCCGTGTGTTTGGGGCCGATTCTGAGGGGTCAGTGGAGAGGCTGGAGTGTGTCCCAGGGCGTGTCTGCCCAGGGCTGGTGTCGGCTGTGCCTGGGGCCCCGCCTGCCCTGGGAGTCACCGGCCACTCTCTGCAGCCAGTGGCTGTGCCCTGGCTGTGGGCACAGACCAGAGGGGCTGCTGTCCCAACGCACGCTCCATTCCCCGCTAGCGTCTGCAGCGCCCGCAGTCTCCTCCTCCCGGCTCCCAGGACAGAGCGCTGGTCAGCAGGGAGGGGCCAGCAGGCACTGGGATCCCCCACAGCTCTGGGGCCAGAAAGGGACCAAGCAGAGGGTACCCCAACTCTGGGCTGAGGTGGGCTCTCCCCTGACCCCCACCCCCACAGTGTGACTAGGGCACTTCTGCGAGCCCCCTGCCCCCCAGAGTTCCAGGTGCCCTTTGTATCCCGCCGTTGGATTGTGACTTTTTGGGGGGTCCAGCCTGGTGCCCACGCTGGGGGCCGCCTCACACTGTGTGCGGGGTGGGGGCTGGGAGGGCGCGCCTGGAGGGAAGGGAGAGGGGTACTTGGAAGGGGTCCTCTCACCTTGTCCGTCTACCCATGAGGCTCTCAGAGCTAAAATCCAAGAAGTTGATGGCTGGGCAGAGAGAGGGGTGCAGGGCCTGTGAGTGGGCGTCAGGGGTGGAGCGGTTGCCTCTGCTGCTCCCCCATCTGCTACACCCTCTGCCTGGCCCTCCCGGCCCCTCTCTCCCTCCCCACCCGGCTTTGCTGCTGTCCCAGCGGCTTCTTTGTGACGCTTCCTTTTCTTTCCTTCCTTCCCTTCCTCTTCCCGTCGGCTCCCTCCAGCTCTTCCAGTCACTCGGCCGCCTGGGGGCTGGGAAGTGGGCGTTTGGTTCTGGGAGGTTGGCCAGGCAGCTTCCTGGTCAGCGTGACCACCAGTCAGAGGGCGGTTTTCCCAGGAACCTCAGGGCCTCGCCCGCGGCTGCGCCTCACTGTTGGGAGCCGAGTCCCAGGACACAGGCCGCTATAACCTTCCTGCCCTGGACGGGATCACAGACTGTCCCGTTCCCACGCCAGGCGGCCTCTGTGGAGATAGCCATTCGCACGTCTCTGCTCCCATCGAGACACGGTCCTGTGGACAGTGGGAGCCCTGCGGACAGTGGGAGCCCTGCGGACAGTGGGCCCTGCGGACAGTGGGCCCTGCGGACAGGGGGGCCCTGCGGACAGTGGGAGCCCTGCGGACAGTGGGCCCTGCGGACAGTGGGTCCTGCGGACAGGGGGGCCCTGCGGACAGTGGGAGCCCTGCGGACAGTGGGCCCTGCGGACAGTGGGGCCCGCGGACAGTGGGCCCGCAGACAGTGGGCCCTGCGGACAGTGGGGCCCGCGGACAGTGGGCCCGCGGACAGTGGGCCCTGCGGACAGTGGGGCCCTGCGGACAGTGGGCCCTGCGGACAGTGGGCCCTGCGGACAGTGGGGCCCTGCGGACAGTGGGCCCTGCGGACAGGGGGGCCCTGCGGACAGTGGGCCCTGCGGACAGTGGGCCCGCGGACAGTGGGCCCTGCGGACAGGGGGGCCCTGCGGACAGTGGGGCCCTGCGGACAGTGGGCCCTGCGGACAGTGGGCCCTGCGGACAGTGGGGCCCTGCGGACAGTGGGCCCTGCGGACAGGGGGGCCCTGCGGACAGTGGGCCCTGCGGACAGTGGGGCCCGCGGACAGTGGGCCCTGCGGACAGTGGGCCCTGCGGACAGTGGGGCCCGCGGACAGTGGGCCCTGCGGACAGGGGGGCCCTGCGGGCCTGGGGAGAGGTGCGTGTTCCATTCACCACCAGCGGTTCTCTGTGTCCGTGCCTCCCCACGGCCTGTATCTAGGGTCCTGCTCAGGTAGCCACTCACTGCACCCACCTTGCTGGGAGCCCCTGTAGCTCTGACTCTCGGGGTCACCTTGTGAGCCGCCATGTATCATAATAAACTCAGAAATGTGCGCTCGTCTGTCTCAAACAGGAAAACAGATTTCTGGGAGCAAGAACTCCGAGGCCCTGGGGGCTCCGGGCTCCGTGGTTGGGCCGCCGTTAAAGGGGTTTGTGGCCTGTAAAGTAGCAGCGTCTCGTGGTGCGTGGGGTTCATTGTTTTGTGGAAACGTCCGTAGCGACGGGGCTAGTTGTAAGGAGTGTGTGGTCTGTGCGAGGGGTGGGAGGACGGGGGACGAAGGTCGCTGGTCCTTGCTCCGCCGCTCGGCTGGGCCGGGTCAGGGGCGTTTCTCAGAAGCTCGGCAGCCCCATGCGTTCAGGCGTCCTGTCTGTGTGCGGGCCGGGGGGCCAGGGGCCAGAGGTCAGCGACCGCCTTTCGGGGTGGATGTGTGTCCTGTCCTCCCTGCGACTGAGGTGCAGGGCGGAGCCCGAGGCCACCAGGAGGGAGGCCTGTAGGAGGCGCTCATGGAGGCGCTTGGGTGTGACCCCCCAGCCCCCCAGGAAAGCCGCGCTCCCCCTTCTGCTGACGCTATGCCTCGGCCTCTGCGGGACAGGTTCCTGCTCAGACGCCGGAAAGGAGCTCCGGATGCAATGTGCGGCGTTGTTAGAGCTGGGGGTCTCCTGCTCCAGGGGACCAGGGCCAGACCAGCCTTCCCCCCAGGACCCGCTCCCCGCTCCCGCCACCCTCCCTGCCCTGCTGTCGCCCCTCAGGCCTGGTCACTCTGGGCGCTCCCGGTCCTCAGCTCTCCCCTCTCCCCGCCATGTCCCCACCAGCCCGTGGCCCACGGGCAGCTCTCCAGGAGAACTTTCTAGAAGTGGAGAAAGGCCACGGGGGACGGGGCAGGGACACCCGACACCAGCCCTGTCCCCTCCGCTCTGGGGCTAAGCTCCTCCCGAGGCCCCACCCAGACCTCGCTGGGCGTCTTGAACCTGCTCTGGAGCCGCTGCATTTGGGTGTTTCTGGGTCTCTGGCCCGTGGACCCGCCTTGTCTGCCACTGAGTCCAGGGTGCAGAGAGGAGCCGAGACGGTGGAGGCCAATGTCACCGCTGCCCGGGCGGAGGCCACGTGGGGACAGGCCCCTTCCTGTGGGCCATCGTCCTGAGTGGCCGGCTCCAGACACAAGACGCTGAGAGCGAGCCTAGAGGTGCCCACTGGCCCCCAAAACCCAAAGCAAAGCCCTGGGGGGAGGGGGCCGACCTGACCTGGTGTTAAACCCCAGGGCTTCTCTGCCCTGAGCCCTTCTCCACAGGAAGCAGCCTCGGGGAGGAAGCGTGGCTGCCTTTCCCAATCGATCCATCAATCCATCGATCATAGACTCAGTTGAGGGAGGGAGGCCGCCCTTGGGGTCGGGGCTTCCGCCAGCCGGGGGCCTCCAGGACACGGCAGGGTTCCAGGGAGAGGAGGCCGCTGTCCAGGCTGCCCCACCCCCACGGGAAACTCCCGAAGCTGACGGTGCCCGACGCCTCCTCCTGGACGGTTTCCAGTAACAGTTCACACTTGAACCAAAGGGAGAATGGACGCTCATCCGAAGGCGCATCTCCTGAACCCAAAGAAATAGTTCCATGCTGTTCTCTCTCTCCCCCAGAACCCAGTCCCCTTGGTACACCCACCCGCCACCAAAACCAACAATAAACAGACCACCAACAACCCACCCAAACGAAAACCGCTCAAAAGAGCAACCCCCACACAGCAACACAATGAAAGCCCAAATGAAACCCCAAAGCTGCTGATGTCCACGGCGTCCTGGAGTCCCCGCCGCCCCTGGGCCCCCTGCCCTCGGGCCAGAGTGTAGGAGCCTCTGCTGAGTGTCCCAGCTGAAGAGCCCTTGGGCTTTTAACTGGGAGCAGCTGTGGAGGGTGAGGGTGAGGGTGAGGGTTAGGGTTAGGACTAGGGTTAGGGTTAGGGTTAGGATTAGGGTTAGGGTTAGGGTTAGCGTTAGGGTTAGGGCTAGGGCTAGGGTTAGGGCTAGGGCTAGGGTTAGGGTTAGGGTTAGGATTAGGGCTTAGGGTTAGGGTTAGGGTTAGGGTTAGGGTTAGGGTTAGGATTAGGGCTTAGGGTTAGGGTTAGGATTAGGGGTTAGGGTTAGGGCTAGGGCTAGGGTTAGGGTTAGGGCTAGGGTTAGGGTTAGGGTTAGGGCTAGGGCTAGGGTTAGGGTTAGGGTTAGGATTAGGGCTTAGGGTTAGGGTTAGGGTTAGGGCTTGGGCTAGGATTAGGGTTAGGGTTAGGGTTAGGGCTAGGGCTAGGGTTAGGGTTAGGGTTAGGGGTTAGGGTTAGGGCTAGGATTAGGGCTTAGGGTTAGGGCTAGGGCTTAGGGTTAGGGTTACGATTAGGGCTTAGGGTTAGGGTTAGGATTAGGGGTTAGGGTTAGGGCTAGGGCTAGGGTTAGGGTTAGGGCTAGGGTTAGGGTTAGGGCTTGGGCTAGGGTTAGGGTTAGGGTTAGGGTTAGGGCTAGGGCTAGGGTTAGGGTTAGGGTTAGGGCTTAGGGTTAGGTTTAGGATTAGGGGTTAGGGTTAGGGTTAGGGCTAGGGCTAGGGTTAGGGTTAGGGTTAGGATTAGGGCTTAGGGTTAGGGTTAGGGTTAGGGCTTGGGCTAGGATTAGGGTTAGGGTTAGGGTTAGGGCTAGGGCTAGGGTTAGGGTTAGGGTTAGGGTTAGGGTTAGGGTTAGGGGTTAGGGTTAGGGCTAGGGCTAGGGCTAGGGCTATGTTTGGTTTAGGGTTTGTACTAGGATTAGTGTTAGGGTAGGATTAGGTTTGGGACTAGTTTTAGGATTATTGTAGATTTCGGTTTAGGATCCACTTTTGGATTATGGTTAGGGTTAGATTTAGGGTTTGTTTTCCTGTGTTGTAGGTCTGGGCGTATCATTCCCTTCTTTTGATTGATGCAAGGTACATCATCTGGGAGTTGATGGAGTAGGAACCCTGATCTGGTATTTGTTTACCACATGCCCCAGGTGGTTCCATTTCTCTGAGCCTGTGAGTCTATGTTATTCTGATATTTACCTCATAAAATTCTTTTAGGTTTTAATGACCGGAAATAAGTGTCTGGTAGGTGGTATGTATACGTTCAGTCCACACCGGCAGCAGCATTTGGCCCCTGTGGGTCCTGAGCTTGCAGGGGACCACCCTCCCCTGCACCGGGGTGTGTCCATCTGCAGTTCTAGCCGTGGTGTCTGGTTCCCCAGGCTCCTTGCCTGTCTCCTGTTAGTAAGGGATTAAAACAGGCAGAACCCACACTGACTGTGACTACAGCCAAGTGCCTGCCCCGTCACTCTTTCCACGCTTGTGCAAAACTGTTTTCTGTTGTCAGAATCTCTGTGCCTTTGAGTTCCTTTTCACTTTAAATACAGGAAACCCTCAATTTTGCGGACCTTGGTTTCACAGACTGATTTAATGGACTTTGGATTTAAAAGACCTAATTCCTGGTCCTTATGTCATATATGAAAATTAACACCCTGGTAATTTTAAAATGCTTTTAACCAAGATTTGCTTATAATTAATAGGGTTTTGTTTTGTTACTAATTTACTGTTGTTTTTAACAAATTTTAGCCAATACGCCATATGTTGGTAAAAGTACTGTAGTAATTTTGCTGACATTATATATCTAAAACTACTCAAATCCCCGAGTCACTGCTCTGAAACATGTTCTGCGAACGGTTAGCAGGTGATCGTGCCGTAGCACGTGCGCCAAGTGCATCCTGGCCTCGCGCATCTGCTCACACCCAGGGAGGGGATGCCCACATTCCGCAGACCCGTCCGGTAGAAACGTAAAATCACAGTGTGACAGAAAGCTCTCCTGTGACATTTAGCTTTCTAAACATACGTAATTTTAATCATGCAAACGTGTCTACATGAAAACAGGTAAACGAACTTGTCAATTTTTTAGCGTAAGCATGCGGAAAACCTGCTTGAGGATGGAACGGCCCTTCGGCTTTAGTGGACGCCCCCTCACCCGAGGCCGCCATGTGGAGGCTGCTGGGTTCCCCCTTCGCCGGCCCCTCCCGGAGGCCCACAGAACCAGCTCCAGAGCTTCCGGCCGATGCCCGTGACAGCCGCGCTGGGCCCCACGCGGGAGGGTGCGGGCCCAGCAGGACCGTGGCCTGAGGCCAGCGAGGCCCACCCGTGTTTGCTCCTGGTGGCGGCATGGCTTTAAGGCTGTCCCACCCTGGCTGAGGGGCAGGTGGCGGGAACTGGGGTTTTCCGCCCACTCTGTGGAGGGCTCCCCTAACTCACCATGTTATCCCCGTGCGTCCCAAGTCATAAACCACATACACCCAAACCCTGTAAGTGGGGTAATTCGCCCTAAAGTTGAAACATAAGACAATTCCAGGCAGTTTTCTGATGGGAAATGACAGCCGTAGTCGGAGGAATAGATGGGAAAGAGGGTTTGACTCTCCAGGTTCCTACACGAAGCTAAGCCTCGTCTGTAAAACCGTTAGTGGGAGGAAGTCACTCCCACCTGAGAAGGGACGTGCTGGGCTGTGGGCCATGGGCTATGGACCGTGAGCCGTGGACCGTGGGCCGTGAGCCATGAGCCGTGAGCCGTGGGTTGTGCTGGGCCGTGGGCTATGGACCGTGAGCCGTGGGTTGTGCTGGGCCGTGAGCTGTGGGCCGTGAGCTGTGGGTTGTGCTGGGCTGTGAGCCGAGAGCTGTGCTGGGCTGTGAGCTATGGGCCGTGGGCCATGAGCCGTGAGCCGTGCTGGGCCGAGAGCCGTGGGCCGTGAGCCGTGGGCCGTGGCGCACAGGCAGCTTCTCGGGAGACGTGCCTTTCCAAGGTGTCCCTGGCCACCAAGAGCCAAGCGCCGGGAGCGGCTGCCACCCACTCGGTGAGCCCCACGTTCTCCCCGCCTCCTGCCCCGCTTCTGGTGACTAATGAGCCACAGCTCGGGCTTGAAGGTGGGTGACAGCAGCCTGCGGGCCGGGCTGTCGATGTTGAAAGCGTGGAGGGATGATCTGTGTGAGAAAGAAAAGCTGGGCCGAGCTGACGCCGCTCCCCCCCCGGGCTGCGGAGGCTGCGTGGCAGGAGCTCTGCGGTCACTTTGGGCTCAGGGTCCGTAACAGAAATGGGGGTGAGACAAGGAGGAGCCCAGGGAGCCACAGTGGACACGGGGCTGAAACGCAGGAGCCCCCGTCCCGCCCCGATGTCACGTGTGTGACCTTCAGGCCGTGTGAGGAGACCTGGTCCGGATGGGGGTTCCCTGTGGACACGGCACATTCTGGGTGGAACCACAGTGTGAGGACGAGCAGCGTGGACGGCCCAGTCCCTCCAGGTGGGGTGGCTGAGGCTCCCCACTGGGCAGCTTGGAGGCAGCAGGGCACAGACTGGCCACAAGGTGGCGCTGCACCTCCATTCTCAACAGGGTCCGCCAATGGGGTAAGAAAACACTCCCTGGGCGTGGGCCTGCGTCTCCGAGTCCTGTACCGGCCCCGGAGGCCACGCAGCCCACCCCCGCCGAGTCCCCCCCGTCAGCTGAACGGGCATCGAACAAGCACAGGCCCTCCACGGAGGCCCAGCCCGGGCGGCGGGACCCCAGCCACGGGCCCGACATCCAGCGGCAGTGACCACACAGAGTGAACAGGTTTACTGCCTACGTGGGAGGTTACAGGTGATACGCGAGTACACTTAGGATACATGTCGTTACGTCAACATAAACAGCTGGCTACAATGAGCACATGCAACTCCTGCAGAGGAAAATCACGGACACACTCCTGACCGGCCTGGCTAGGAGCCAGTGGGGGCGGCGGGTGTCCTGGGCGGGCGGGGCCGGTGCAGGGGGCACAGCACACGGGCCCAGGCACACCGCGCCCACTGTTCACACACGCGTGTTGAGACCGAAGGACTCAGACACTGACCTTACCGCCCCCGTATCTGTGACACCCAGGGTGCTGGTGGTCAGCCCTGGACGCGTGGAGCCCTCACTCACCAAGGCTGTGCTTAAGGGACAGAGACGGGCACCCTGTGGCCACTGGCCTCAAGCGCTTTTCACGCAACCCGAGGCCCCCCGCTCACGCGCACACCAGCAGCACATGAAAAACCATGAATCCAGAAGATGCCACATTTGGCCCAGACCCTCTGACGTCGCCTGCACCCCGCCCACGGTCCGGGAAAGGCCGCCGGGACCAGCGGGAGGGCCAGGCCCCGGGTCCACTGGCTCACAGCGTCGCGGGAACTGGGACCATCCTGCTTCGGGCTCTCTCTCCATCTTCTCTTGATTCACAGAAAAGTGCAAGAAGCTTTTCGAAGTGACCTCGCCTGGGCAACAGGACGAACATGACCCAGAAAGCGCCCGGCAGTCGTCACAGTTCTGCTCGGGGAGCTCAGTGCCTGGCAGTGCAGCCATCGCCTCGTTCACCGGACGGAAGTGCACGGGCTGGAGTTGGTTCTTAGACCCAAAGGGAGAAGACGACGGAGGACTACAGGCCTTCTTTTTGCATCTCTTCCTCACGCCCCAGATCGTCCTCACCATCCAGGCAAGACCCTCCCAGCAAAGCTGCAACTCCCCCGAGAGGGGCTGGCACTTACTAGCAACATTTTAAACTGAGGCACGCTGGAGTTTACCCCCAAACCTGCCGTAGACGCTGATGCTCCACCTCAGAGGTGACCTTCAGACGGCCTCCCGTCGAGGCAGCTGCTCTCACCGTCAGGACCGAGTCTCCTCTCCGGTGGCGTGTGAAGCAGCAAAGAGCACGTGGCCTGCTCACCCCACCCCCGCCCCCGCGCACCCTCCCCTGCCAGCCCCCAGGGGGCTCCGCTCTGTGGTGACGGGACCACAGCCTCTCCCCGTCCTGTCCTCGGGGGCGAGGGCACCGCCTGAGGCCCGAGACCCGCAAGAGCAACACGTTCACACGGGAGGCTCGCACTCGGCTGCGGGCGGCGTGGGCGCAGACAGCCTGGCCCGTCCCTCTGGGCACAGCCGAGTCTGAGACGCTGCAGGAGGCTGTGAGCAGGGACAGGAACATTCTAAAAACTCATCAGGTGACTGATGACAGAAGGTCCAAAACCGATTTTCAATTTGCAAGTTGAACTCCAGAACCCGCTCCTGCAGCTGCGGCAGCATCAGTCCCAGGGGCGAGTCTGTGCCGTGATCGCACGGGAGCCTCCGGGTCAGAGCACAACGGCCGTCCAGCTGTGCCGCTGGGTGAGCTCTGGGGCCGCGGGGAGGGTGGGACCACGCCTGTCACCCCCAGCCCTCAGCCCTCAGCCCAGCGGTGCGGCAGCGCCTCCGGCGCCCTGGCAAAGGGTCCTGGTGCCCTGAGGCGGCTCCTCGGGCACCGAGGCCGTGGCAGCCCCGCGGGGGGCCGGCATGTAGTGTGTGAGTGGATCACGGTCTGGGACGGAGGATGGGACACGCTTGTCCACAAGGCGCGCTGTCACCTCAGGGAGTGGGACTCCGGGGATCTGAGGCGCAGACTGGCCGTGCCCAGCGGCCTGCGGGCGGGCGCCTCACTGGGGCACGTAGCCGCCAGGCCGCACCGTCTGCGGGAGGTAGCTCTTCGGCAGCCCCTCATCAAGGTTGAGCGCGGCCTCCACCCCATCCGCCTCCAACCTCTCCGGCCCCGGGGACCCTGGACTAAAGGCGTCCGCCGCAGGGACCTCCTGGAATGCCTGCAGCTGCCCAGACCCCGGCTGCCCGGGTCCAACAGGGTCCTCGCCGGCCGGGGCTCCCGGCTGCGGCCGTCCTGCGGGGCCGGGGGGGCCGGCCTCGGGCTGGCGGCAGCTCTGCTGGAAGTACTGCTGTCGGGGCAGCGGGTCCGCGCCCTCCCCCGGCGGCAGCTCGTCGGGCCGCTCCTCGCAGTCGAGCAGGGGCTGCGTGGACTCGGAGCGCGAGAAGACCTGCACGGAGGGCACCTGGTGGCGGTAGCCGCTGTGCACCACGGTGGAGTACTGCACGGCGCTCGCGGCGCTCTGGGCGGACGCCGCCTCGGCCTCGTCGCCGCTGGACAGGCTCTGCCGCGAGGACATGCACGAGGAGCCGCCGATGCCGCTGCTGTGGCCGCCCGTGCTCAGCTTCTCCTTCCGGAACAGGTCCAGGGCCTTGAGCTCCTCCGGGAGCGGCTTCTTGTCGCTCGCCTCGATCTCCACCACGCTCAGGTCCGTGAGCGCGCCGTCCGAGAACATCTGGTCTTTTGAGCTGAAGTTATGCTGAGAGGGAGAGAGGGGGGAGAGAGGATGGATCGTCACGACAACGCGTCACTCAGGAACTGCGGGCACACGCGAGGGCGGAGCCAGCCTGCGTCTGAGCGCCCGTGGCTGTCGGAGGTGACACTGCTCTGCCACCGGCCGCGAGCGCCCGGATCCAGCTGCGGGGACGTTCTCCTGGGCCCCGGCTGCGCCTCGTCAGAGCCCGGCCCAGGCTGCCGGCACAGCAGCACTCACTCTCCACGCCCCCAGGGCTAACGGGACAGAGAAACTAGAAACGTTCAAATGACTCCGGTTCCACAGAACATACACACGCCACACACGTGAGCCTGTTAACCCGGAATCCCAGGAGGGAAGGCAACACAGACAGACCCCCCTTCAGGGAGGTTCCCGGGATCCAGGAGGAAACCCCCCTCAGCGCGGGAACACGCCGGCTTCGCAGGCCGATGGGGACACGAAGCTGAATGCCCGCCCGCGGGGCGGTACCGACACCTGTGAGCTTCGCGCTGCAGGACCAGGCTGTTGGCGGCCGACACCCACGTGTCAGCGTGAATGTGCTCCAAGGGTGATGGCAGAGAACGCGCAGGCATCACGTGAAATGCTGGTTACGATCCTCATTCGTGTGCTATTCTGGTTCCACTCGCTCTAGGTTGACCCCACAAACGTGCCCTCACTTGCCCTCTGTCTTACCCGGGGTGGCGTGTGCGGAGACCACTGGGCGATGTTGCTCTTGGACGGGTCGGGGACGTTGGGCCAGATGTGCTTTTTAATCCTGGAGAGAAGGAGACACGGCTGGTGAGGGGCCACGGGCAGCACACGAGGGGGTCCCTGACCCCAGACACATTCCCCACCAACAGCACCCGCCGAACCCAAAGCCACTGAGCAAGGCCTGCAACCGCTGAGCAGCACCGTGTGAGACAGGAGGACCGCCTGCGTGTCGTGATGAAAGGCCGCCAACAAGGCTAAGCTCGTCAGCGACATTCCACCGGGAGAATCTCAGGCCAATCCTGCACCGAGACCACAGCCGAGCTTCGCCAGGTCACAGCGTGCGGCAGCTCAGCCCCTCCCGATGGCAGAGAGAAAACCGCTCAACTTCCAACTGTCAGACAACAGACGCAATTTCAGCTGGGCACCAGGAAAGGAAGAAAGAGCAACAGAACTAAAAACACCTAAGGAAGGAGATCCCGTCATCACAGGCCTCCTCACGTGCGTTTCCCTCCTACAGGCCCTGCCCGGTCAGATCCCAGCTCTGCAGGGAGCGGTCGCGGGAGGGAAAGGACCTCCAGGCTGCCTCCCGCACAACCAGGAAGTGTGGGCGGAGGGCTCCCACCTCGGCCCACAGACCAGCCACGAGCCGACTGAGAAACACTCCTCTCGCCCCATCTGTGCAAAAAGCAAATTCTCCCCAAGAGAGAACCTCAGCCCCGAGGGCGACCCCTGCAAATCCCATCAGACGTTTAAAAAGGAGGCAACCCCACTCCCACAGGAACCCTCCCATAAGGGGGTAACACGGCCACTAACCCCACAGCCACCGGACGAGCGAGCACGTCCCTGAACCTGGAGAACGGATGACAGTTTCCTATAAAGTGAGACGTGCACCTGCCACACCCCCGGCGACCCTCCTAACGTAACACGTGACGCCAAGACGCGCTTCACGAGCAGAGCACGTCGCTTACAGCGGCCACCGTCAAAGAAACCCCGGAGCTTCCGCCACAGCGTGTGGGCTGACGCAGACGGACCGCGCCCAGGACACTGCTCCGCAGCGAGAAGGCATGAGTCGCAGCAGCGCTGGCCCTCAGGACGCTGAGAGCCGTCAGACACGCAGCCGGGGGAGCGCCGTCAGACACGCAGCCGGGGGAGCGCCGTCAGACACGCCGCCGGGGGAGCGCCGTCAGACACGCCGCCGGGGGAGAGCCGTCAGACACGCAGCCGGGGGAGAGCCGTCAGACACGCCGCCGGGGGAGAGCCGTCAGACACGCCGCCGGGGGAGAGCCGTCAGACACGCCGCCGGGGGAGAGCCGTCAGACACGCCGCCGGGGGAGCGCCGTCAGACATGCAGCCGGGGGAGCGCCGTCAGACACGCAGCCGGGGGAGCGCCGTCAGACACACCGGGGGAGCGCCATCAGACACGCAGCCGGGGGAGAGCCATCAGACACGCAGCCGGGGGAGCGCCGTCAGACACGCAGCCGGGGGAGCGCCGTCAGACACGCAGCCGGGGGAGCGCCGTCAGACACACCGGGGGAGCGCCGTCAGACACGCAGCCGGGGGAGAGCCGTCAGACACGCAGCCGGGGGCAGGTGTGCACGGGGTACTCACAGGTCCCGCTTGTTGAAGCACAGCAGCACGCCCAGCAACGTGAGCAGCAGGAACGCCAGGCACACGGGCACCACGATGGCCTCGATCTCGCCCTGGGCTGAAGGGGACGGGGAGAGGAGACAGGGCTCAGCGCAGCCGAGGGGACATGCGTTTCCCGCCACCCGGGCTGCGCACGCAGACCCGCTCCACAGCCCGAGAGACCGCCCTGCACAGCTGGGGGCGTCGGCATCCTTACAGCACAGGCCCTGAACGGAGGTGGTGCCTGATCAGACAGCCCTACTGTGCGTGACTAGATGCAGGTAAACGCGCCCCTATGTGCACGGGAACCAGGTACGCGGGGGATGCACTGCATGGTGACACTCGCTTTATGCAGGGCCTGGAAGTGCCCCAATATCTCTGCGAGGTGCCAGGACTATTGGGAAAGATGAACACATTGTTCCAGCCTTTCCACACTTCACGGCTGTTTCCCCATCCCTGCGGCCCATCCCAGCCACGCCGCTCACAGCAGGCGGCCCGGGACAGCGCTCACATGCTGGCGGGAGGTGGCGGGAAGCGGACAGGGGACCGGGCGGGAGGCGGCGAGGGGGAGGCGGACAGGGAGGCGCAGGGCTATCTGGGCAACACAGGGGTGAGAACAGTGGTCGGCAAACCGCGGCTCGTGAGCCACATGCGGCTTTTTGGCCCCTTGAGTGTGGCTCTTCCACAAAATACCACGTGCGGGCGCACGCACAGTGCAATGGAAACTTCGTGGCCCGTGCGCAGAAGTCGGTTTTGGGCCTGGGCGAGTCCTTTTGAGGAAGTGGCGTTAGAAGAAGTGGGGGCTGTCGGTCGGTCGGGCCGCGGGAGACGCGGCGGGGGAGGCGCCAAATACCAACAGTCCTTACCCTGTGGAAGGCAGGGTAACAGCAGTGTGCCTGCCTGTAGAGTTTAAGTTTTAAAAATGTGGCTCTCAGAAGAAATTTCAGTCGCTGTACTGTTGATATTTGGCTCTGTTGACTAATGAGTTTGCCGACCACTGGGTTAGAAGAACCAAGGGAAGAGGCATTTTTGAGGAGAGGCCACAGGAGTCAGACTGAGGAGGAGGAAGATCGGGAAAGACAGAGGCACAAGACCAGACCACAAAGGCTCCTGAGCCACAGCCAGGCTTCGGCCTGGGCAGGAGGGGCCCGTGAAGCTGGGTTGCAGGGGTGAGTAGGGCCCGCGGGGCAGACCAGGCCCCCAGCACTGGCCATAAAAGCAGGACAGCAGACAGACCCCCAAGATCTGCCAGCGAAGAAACGAGCCACTGAGGAAGGCACCCAGCTTTGGGGAGTTTTTAGGGTCCAGGTGAGACCAGTCAGAAACTGTTAATAAAACAAAAAAGGTCAGGAAAACGATTTTCTATCGTTTAAAGAAACAACTAAAACAGATCATAGCATAAATGTCTAATTTCTGAACCTCATTCCTATGAACCCAAAGATGGACTTTTAACAAGATTCCAGCACAGACAGCCCTTCAGGCGGATAGACAGAAAGGGAGAGGCTGTCCGCTCCTCACCGAACTTGGGGGTGGTGAAGGTGAACTCGGGGCCGTCCTTGCCGCCCTCGTCCGTGTAGGCCGCCATGCGCACCATGTAGAGCGTGTCGCTCGTCAGCGAGGACAGCGTGTACTCCGTGTGGGAGGAGTCCACGTTCACGGCTGGAAGAAACGACAGGTCAGTCAGCTGCTCGGGCCTCTGCTCCCTGCCTACATCCGACAGGGAGAGCGCCAACAGGAACGGAGTTATTTTACCCACAACAACGTTCCTAGCTGAGGCGACAGGCCCGGAGGCAGCCCTGGGCAGCCTGTGTCTGCGCGGAGGGCCCGCCCCCAGGGAGGGGCGGCAGGAGGAGGGGAGGCCTAATGGTGGCTCCGAGCCGGGAGGAAGGAGTGGGTCCTGGGGAAGTGGCGTCTGTTACCGGTCTCGTTTCCCAGGCTGGTTTTATAGAAGATGGTGTAGTTCCTGATGAAGCCGTTCTGCACGTCGACAGGGAGCTGCTCCCACTCCAGGATGGCTTCGTTCTTCCCCACCTTCTTCGTCCGCACGACAGGGCCCTTGGAGGGCGCTGCAGGGAAGACGGTCATTTGCTAACTGAACACCATTAGGGTTTAGTGACACTTCATCACAGCTCCCTGGACAGCTGAGCCAGCCTGATGGGAAGGCCTGCAGCGGCTCTGCTCACACCTTCCCGGGCAGGGACGGGGGGGCTTACGGGCTTGCTTCAGGGGTGGACGGGGTGGGGGCAGACAGGGAGCTTACGGGCTTGCTTCAGGGATGGACAGGGGGTTGGGGGGGTGGGGGGGGAGGGGGTGGACCGGGGGGCGGACAGGGGGCTTACGGGCTTGCTTCAGGGATGGACGGGGGAGGGGCGGACGGGGGTGGGGTGGACAGGGAGCTTACGGGCTTGCTTCAGGGGCGGACTGGGGGCGGACGGGGGACTTACGGGCTTGCTTCAGGTACGCCCTCACGGCCTCAGGGCTCCCCGGCCCGTCGCTGTACACCGGGGTGACCGTGATTAGGTAGCAGGTGCTCTCTGCCAGGCTCCCTGGAGGAGAGAAGGGACCAGGTGCTGTTTCTCTCACAAGGAGAGTGTCTGACTCCACTGCTTATGTCACATCATAGCTGCACGGGCTTCTCTAAACCTGCAGCTTCTGAAGGAAGCCCTGCCTCTGTGCACTGGGTTTCAGCTCAGAGGGTAACTGTGTACGAGAGTCCAAGGCCCCCCTCATGCCGATGAGCGGGTACAGGCCACCCTCACTACCGATGAGCGGGTACAGGCCACCCTCACTACCGATGAGCGGGTACAGGCCACCCTCATGCCGATGAGCGGGTACAGGCCACCCTCATCGCCAATGAGCGGGTACAGGCCACCCTCACTGCCGATGAGCGGGTACAGGCCACCCTCATGCCGATGTGCAGGTACAGGCCACCCTCATCGCCAATGAGCGGGTACAGGTGACCCTTGGCGCCAATGCAGTGGGTAAAGCGTTTACGTCGTCATAGGAGTGATGTCTGCAATCAGTCGGGAGTTAGACCCCTGACCTCACGTTATCGGAATCTGCCTCCTAGTCTGACGACTTGTCTGCCCAGTGAACCTGCTGCTTCTGAGCCAGGCCCACTTGGTCAGGTGACTCAGAAAAGAGAATGGGGTCATTTCCCCAGAAAGTAACCCCACGTTACAAGGAGACATGATCCCGACTCCGCCATCTTTAACCCCCCAGACAAAGTGGCTGCTGCTCAGCCACCTAGTGACCAGCACAGCGCGCTGTTATCTGCACTCGGCCGTCCACAGTGGGGGAGGGAGTGTTTGTGGCACTGAAAAGGGAGCACACACCAGAGAGCAGGGAGCACACACCTGGGTGCAGGGAGCACACACCAGGTGCAGGGAGCACACACCAGGGAGCGGGCAGCACACACCAGGTGCAGGGAGCACACACCAGGGAGCGGGCAGCACACACCAGGTGCAGGGAGCACACACCAGGGAGCACACACCAGGGAGCGGGCAGCACACACAAGGGAGCGGGGAGCACACACCAGGGAGTGGGGAGCACACACCAGGGAGCACACACCAGGGAGCACACACCAGGGAGCGGGGAGCACACACCAGGGAGCAGGGAGCACACACCAGGGAGCACACACCAGGGAGCAGGGAGCACACACCAGGGAGCACACACCAGGGAGCAGGGAGCACACACCAGGGAGCACACACCAGGGAGCACACACCAGGGAGCGGGGAGCACACACCAGGGAGTGGGGAGCACACACCAGGGAGCACACACCAGGGAGCAGGGAGCACACACCAGGGAGCAGGGAGCACACACCAGGGAGCGGGGAGCACACACAAGGGAGCGGGGAGCACACACAAGGGAGCACACACCAGGGAGTGGTGAGCACACACCAGGGAGCACACACCAGGGAGCACACACCAGGGAGCGGGGAGCACACACCAGGGAGCACACACCAGGGAACGGGGAGCACACACCAGGGAGCACACACCAGGGAGCGGGGAGCACACACCAGGGAGCACACACCAGGGAGAGGGAGCACACACCAGGGAGCGGGGAGCACACAAGGGAGCGGGGAGCACACACAAGGGAGCGGGGAGCACACACAAGGGAGCACACACCAGGGAGAGGGGAGCACACACCAGGGAGCACACACCAGGGAGAGGGGAGCACACACCAGGGAGCAGGGAGCACACAAGGGAGCAGGGAGCACACACAAGGGAGCAGGGAGCACACACAAGGGAGCAGGGAGCACACACAAGGGAGCAGGGAGCACACACCAGGGAGCACACACGAGGGAGCAGGGAGCACACACCAGGGAGCACACACCAGGGAGCACACACCAGGGAGCGGGGAGCACACACCAGGGAGTGGGGAGCACACACCAGGGAGCACACACCAGGGAGCAGGGAGCACACACCAGGGAGCACACACCAGGGAGCACACACCAGGGAGCGGGGAGCACACACCAGGGAGCACACACCAGGGAGCGGGGAGCACACACCAGGGAGCACACACCAGGGAGCGGGGAGCACACACCAGGGAGCACACACCAGGGAGCGGGGAGCACACACCAGGGAGCACACACCAGGGAGAGGGGAGCACACACCAGGGAGCACACACCAGGGAGCACACGCCAGGGAGCACACACCAGGGAGCGGGGAGCACACAAGGGAGCGGGGAGCACACACAAGGGAGCAGGGAGCACACACAAGGGAGCACACACCAGGGAGAGGGGAGCACACACCAGGGAGCACACACCAGGGAGAGGGGAGCACACACCAGGGAGCAGGGAGCACACAAGGGAGCAGGGAGCACACACAAGGGAGCAGGGAGCACACACCAGGGAGCACACACAAGGAGACACAAGGGATCAAGGGAGCACACACCAGGGAGCAGGGAGCACACACAAGGGAGCACACACCAGGGAGCACACACAAGGGAGCAGGGAGCACACACAAGGGAGCACACACAAGGGAGCAGGGAGCACACACCAGGGAGCAGGGAGCACACACAAGGGAGCACACACCAGGGAGCACACACAAGGGAGCAGGGAGCACACACAAGGGAGCAGGGAGCACACCAGGGAGAGGGGAGCACACAAGGGAGCAGGGAGCACACACCAGGGAGCGGGGAGCACACAAGGGACCAGGGAGCACACACCAGGGAGCACACACCAGGGAGCGGGGAGCACACACCAGGGAGCACACACCAGGGAGCGGGGAGCACACACCAGGGAGCACACACCAGGGAGCACACACAAGGGAGCAGGGAGCACACACAAGGGAGCAGGGAGCACACCAGGGAGAGGGGAGCACACAAGGGAGCAGGGAGCACACACCAGGGAGCGGGGAGCACACAAGGGAGCAGGGAGCACACACCAGGGAGCACACACCAGGGAGCGGGGAGCACACACCAGGGAGCACACACCAGGGAGAGGGGAGCACACACCAGGGAGCACACACCAGGGAGCACACAAGGGAGCAGGGAGCACACACCAGGGAGCACACACCAGGGAGCGGGGAGCACACACCAGGGAGCAGGGAGCACACAAGGGAGCAGGGAGCACACACCAGGGAGCACACACCAGGGAGCGGGGAGCACACACCAGGGAGCAGGGAGCACACACCAGGGAGAGGGGAGCACACACCAGGGAGCAGGGAGCACACACCAGGGAGCACACACCAGGGAGCGGGGAGCACACACCAGGGAGCAGGGAGCACACACCAGGGAGCACACACCAGGGAGAGGGGAGCACACACCAGGGAGCACACACCAGGGAGAGGGGAGCACACACCAGGGAGCACACCAGGGGGCGGGGAGCACACACCAGGGAGCAGGGAGCACACACCAGGGGGCGGGGAGCACACACCAGGGAGCGGGGAGCACACACCAGGGAGTGGGGAGCACACACCAGGGAGCACACACCAGGGAGAGGGGAGCACACACCAGGGAGCACACACCAGGGAGCACACACCAGGGAGCGGGGAGCACACACCAGGGAGCAGGGAGCACACACCAGGGGGCAGGGAGCACACACCAGGGAGCGGGGAGCACACACCAGGGAGCAGGGAGCACACACCAGGGAGCACACACCAGGGAGAGGGGAGCACACACCAGGGAGCACACACCAGGGAGCGGGGAGCACACACCAGGGAGCACACACCAGGGAGCGGGGAGCACACACCAGGGAGCAGGGAGCACACACCAGGGAGCGGGGAGCACACACCAGGGAGCAGGGAGCACACACCAGGGAGCACACACCAGGGAGAGGGGAGCACACACCAGGGAGCACACACCAGGAAGAGGGGAGCACACACCAGGGAGCACACACCAGGGAGCACACACCAGGGGGCGGGGAGCACACACCAGGGAGCACACACCAGGGAGAGGGGAGCACACACCAGGGAGTGGGCAGCACACACCAGGGAGCAGGGAGCACACACCAGGGAGCAGCAGGGCCAGGCGGCCTTGGCTTCTCTCCGCCTTACAGCCCTGTGCGCACCGTCTGTGACTAAGGGGCTCTGGGGAGGGCAGAAGCCGTCTGCCCTTGTCCACCGAGCGGCCCAGAGGCTGAGTGCACCTAGTGAACCGGACGCCGGGCTGGAACTGAGCACTGGCCGCCTCCCCAGGACCACCCTCTCGGCAGGGAGCAGGGAGGAGCCGGGCCAAGGTCCGGGTACCTGTGAGGTGTGTGCGGTGCACGGTGCCGTCCTCCTGCTGCCAGTCGGGGACACAGGGCGCCTTGTCCGACAGCACGCACCACTCCAGGATGTATTTGCTCACGGGCTCGCGGGGGGTGGTCCACTCCACCCACAGCCGGCTGTCTTTGGGAAACGCTTTCAGATCCCTTACGGGGCGAGTAGCTTCAAAACACAAGGTGGACACCACGTTGATGAGTGAACGTTTAAAAACTTAAAATATTAGTATTTTACATTCATTTCCATAACCATGCAATCTATCTTGCTGCCCTTTTTGTAGCATGTAACATTAACATGCATTTCCATGAATAAAAGCACTTCGTTATCATTTACATGCACTCTACTAAATGCTTCCTTTCCCAAATTCTTCAGATGTTCTGTGTAGGTCAATTATAATGTTTCTTCTTCCAAAGCTACCGATAAACAGTACGTTTAAGTCGTATGCACCACAGGTCCCCAGAATCTTAAAGTGACATTAAAGAACGAGGGAGGCGCATAACCAGCGCCTGCCTGACTGAGCAGGTGACAATGATGGAGCGCGAGCAGCGCCGCCGTGAGGGTGGTCAGAGTGCGTCCGTCCTCACAGGCGGCCTCATCGAGCCCTCCCTCAGGAGCCAGGCCCTCGGACACCGACCTGGGAAGTCAGAGGCAGGGATGGTGAGCACAGCGGCGTCGGACGTGCCGACCAGGTTCCTGGCTGTCAGGGTTGCTTTATAGCGATCGTTGGTGAGGTTCACGGTCAGCTTCGTGTCGTTGACTGTGTAGTTTTGTGAATGTGATTTCCATCTCGTGAGAGTCACTGTGTAATCCAAGATTTTCCCATTGGCTTCAAACGGAGGCAGGGTCTGTAATAGACACTTCATGTTAGAGCGTGTTCCCTGCAGGGTCTGTAACAGATACTCCATGTTAGAGCATGTTCCCTGCAGGGCCTGTAAGACACTTCATGTTAGAGCGTGTTCCCTGCAGGGTCTGTAACAGACACGTCATGTTAGAGTGTGTTCCCTGCAGGGTCTGTAACAGATACTCCATGTTAGAGCGTGTTCCCTGCAGGGCCTGTAAGACACTTCATGTTAGAGCGTGTTCCCTGCAGGGTCTGTAAGACACTCCATGTTAGAGCGTGTTCCCTGCAGGGCCTGTAAGACACTTCATGTTAGAGCGTGTTCCCTGCAGGGTCTGTAAGACACTCCATGTTAGAGCGTGTTCCCTGCAGGGTCTGTAAGACACTTTATGTTAGAGCGTGTTTCCTGCAGGGTCTGTAAGACACTCTGTTAGAGCGTGTTCTCTGCAGGGTCTGTAACAGACACTCCATGTTAGAGCGTGTTCCCTGCAGGGTAAGACACTCCATGTTAGAGCGTGTTCCCTGCAGGGTCTGTAAGACACTTCATGTTAGAGTGTGTTCCCTGCAGGGTCTGTAACAGACACTCCATGTTAGAGCGTGTTCCCTGAAGCCAGACCAGAGCTGACTCCCCGTGTGCTGACCCTGGAGCAGGCTCGACCTCAGTGCTCACTGATGGACCCGGCCTCCACGTCATGCTCACCGCAGGGGCAGGAGCACCGCACACGGGCCGAGGAGGTGGGAGGGCGGCTGCGGGGCCAGTTTAACACTACGTCCCAGTGTTTTTCTGCCTTTTCTGGTATGAGCCTCGCACGCACGTGTATGGAGCACACAACCATTTATCTCCGTTCCTGCGTGCACTCTGGTCACGCAGACCTTTCCTCATGATTCCTGGGCACTGGGAGAGCTGAAGAGACTCGGTCCCTGTCCGCACAGCCCCCTCCCCACCCCTCTCCCCCAGCCACGCCGAGGCTTTTGCTACGGCCTGTGCTTGCCCTTGTGCAGCAAATGCAAATTGTGGGCTTCCGCGTGCTGAGCTGATTCAATGCGCTGCTGATCGTCAGGTGAACGAACATGTGCGTTAAAGCCCCGCGCATCGCGTCACCTACGACGCACTTCACAGGAGCTGGAGAACAGACGGGCTGCTCACCTTCCACAGGAGCCGCACGGACCTGTAGCCGTGAGCAGGGGACGGCTCCACCTTATACCAGAAGCTCGGTGCCTTGGACGGTCCTAAAGGAATGACATGCATCTAGTAAATGTTTTTATTGTAACAGAAGCAAAGCCTGGAGGTTACTCCCTCACGTTGTCCTTAACACCCTCACCCTCAGCCGCGTCCCTCCCTTACACGTGGCCCATCTGGCTGTGAGCTGGGGGGGGGGGGGGGTAGGACCCCAGGAGTCAGATACATGGAGGCTCCTGTAATCTCAGGACCGTGAGGCCACAGGCAGCCCTGGGCAGTCACCAAGGCATCCCAGGTCTTACTGCTAAAAGCAGCCCTGAAAACCCCATTTAAGCTCCATCTCACATGTGCTTAAGGCCCCACGTACACACGTGAGACTGTGAGACAAGTCAGAACAGATGGACCCAGTGTAGTTCATCCCCGTACCTGGGGAGGATTCGTGCAATAAGATGTAGCACAAATGAATCCACGGGACTGTGTGACAGTCACCAGCCCTGTGAAAGAGCATTTTACAGAACCAAGTGTCAAATGCTAGTAGTCAGGCTTTAAAGTCCCTGGAGACGGCCCGATTCAGAAACATTTTATGCTACAAGGGGAAACAGGGCTGTCAGCAGGACCTGACAGAGGCTCTGAGTCAAGTCTAAGCGGTGCCGTGTGGACCAAACCCAGAGAGAAGGCCGCCTGAGGCTGGGGAGCTGCCTGGCGAGTCCACGGAGGTCACCCCCCTAGCAGAACAGTGCAGAGTGAGGAGCTGACACCCTCAGAGCCATGTCTGGGCTAGAAACGTCTCCCTGCACAAAGCAACCGGAGGCTTCGGTCCCAGGCTCCTGGCTCCGGGGTCCAGAGCTCTGACTGGATAAAGCACACGCGCCGTCGCCCAGAAAGTCTCGCCAGGACGGCTCCTGCGGCTGCGGTCGAGACACCTCCACACCTGCTGCCCATGCCCCCCACAGCTGCTTCTCACGGCAGCACGGACACCACGCCATGGCCCACGCCCCCCACAGCTGCTTCTCACGGCAGCACGGACACCACGCCATGGCCCACGCCCCCCACAGCTGCTTCTCACAGCAGCGCGGACACCACGCCATGGCCCACGCCTCCCACAGCTGCTTCTCACGGCAGCGCGGACACCACGCCATGGCCCACGCCTCCCACAGCTGCTTCTCACGGCAGCGCAGACACCACGCCATGGCCCACGCCCCCCACAGCTGCCTTTTCACGGCAGCGCAGACACCACGCCATGGCCCACGCCCCCCACAGCTGCTTCTCACGGCAGCACGGACACCACGCCATGGCCCACGCCCCCCACAGCTGCTTCTCACGGCAGCGCGGACACCACGCCATGGCCCACGCCTCCCACAGCTGCTTCTCACGGCAGCGCAGACACCACGCCATGGCCCACGCCTCCCACAGCTGCTTCTCACGGCAGCGCAGACACCACGCCATGGCCCACGCCCCCCACAGCTGCCTTTTCACGGCAGCGCAGACACCACGCCATGGCCCACGCCCCCCACAGCTGCTTCTCACGGCAGCGCGGACGCCACGCCAGGGGGTTGACTTAGGCCTTCAACATGCACACTACAGCTTACAGCTCAACGTCCCTGAAAGTAAAAGTGTTTGAATAAAATGCTCGCGAAGCGGGCAAGGCGGCCTCAGTCACTCAGCCCAGGCAGGGCTCCCACGGCCAGGACCGCGCGCCCGCGAGGTCACTCACGGTCCTCGGACGTGGTCCCCCGCGCCTCTTCGCTCCAGTCGCTCCAGAAGCCCTGGCCGTCCTCCTTCATGCAGCGCACCCGGAACACGTACTCCGTGAAGGGCCGCAGGTCCTGGACCGTGAAGGAGTAGCGGGTGGACGCTGTGTCTTCAAGAGGAATCTGAAAGCAGAGCAGCCAGCTGACCAAGCCCCATGGCCCTCAGACCAGAAACTAAGCTCCTGGAACAGACTAACACGCTAACTCCTGCTCTGGAGAGACAAGCGCAAGTCAGAAAGCTCCTCACAGCAGCAGAGTCCACAGGTTCGGGAAGCACAGAAACGTCTACTCTGAACCCTCCCTGCCTTGGTGGGCAAATTTAGAGAGAATGACAGCAGCCGGCACCGCAGCCGGGCGCGAAAAAATCAGAATTACACCTATCTTTGTCAGATCGGCAAAAACAGCAATCGATTTGGGTGTGCCGGGAACTGCTGTCATTAGCGCACGTGCCAGGAGACAGCAGGGGAGGTCGCGGGGGAGGTCGCGGGGGAGGTCGCGAGAGGCTGTGACCACAGGCGGGCGCCGTACCTGGCTCCAGGCCGCGGTGCCCCGGGCCCGGTACTGGATGTCGTACTTCAGGCCGATGAACTTGTCGATGCTGGAGTTGACCCAGCTCAGCTTCAAGATGCTGGACAGCTCCTCCGAGCTGCTGACCGACACATTGTGCGGAGGAATGGGCTTCACTGGAGAACGAAATAAACGCTCACGCCCACCGGCTTCCTCTGCAAACTCACCCCCTCCTGCTCTCACACGGTCACCACGGTCACCGCGTCCCAACCAGCACACGAGAGAAAGGAACAGCTTCTACACTTGCTTTCCTTGTCACTGAGGACATTGGTTCTCTCTTTTCGGGCTCAGATGTCGGAGAACCATTAAATATGTACAACGTACAGAACTTCTAAAGAGAATAAAGCCGGGCCGGACGCACACTGTGGCTACCACCTGTGAGATGCCTGGAAAGTGGACAAACACCAGGAGGTGACAGTCCCTGTGAGACCAGCGGGGAGGGAGCGGGGACGACGGGCACTGTGCTTTGTCCACGTCGTGATTAATGTTTCGACAACATGAACTAACGACACAAGTGCTTGTCTCTGCCCTGACCGGGGCCTAGAACTCCCTTAGTTATAAACCGCGGCGAGTGCGGCGGAGGCTACCTCTGTTCACGGGGTCGAAGTTGATGTGCTCGGACGTGGCCTCCCCCAGGGCGTTCCGCGCCTCCACCCAGACCTCCATGTTGACGAAGTAGATGGGCAGGTACTCCACGGTGCAGGCAGGGGGGCTGCCGCGCTTCGTCTTACAGTCAGGGAACTTATCCGTTGCCCTAAATACAAACACGGAAGAATCAGGCATTAAAGGAGACCTGAAAACACGAGCGTGAAAAGGTGGCTTGAAGGGTTTCGTGAGACCCAGGTTATGACAGCGCAGAACACAAAGTTGATTCCAACACGTGTGAAATAAACCGACTGCTGAAAAACAGACTTTCCTAAACACTAACCTGCTGATCGTCAAAACACGTCTGATCTGTATCTTAAACACAAAATTATCCTCACACTTCTGCTGCAGGAGCGTTCCGTCTAGTGTGCTACCCTCAGCCCCGGCCCCTCCCCATGGCTCCTCCCATGCTGGGGCTCAGTGCCACTCCTCTCCTCCCCCGGCACAGCCCTCCCGGCGGGCACAGCCCTCCCCCGGCACAGCCCTCCCGGCGGGCACAGCCCTCCCGGCTGGGGCCTCCTGCGCAGGGAGCACGGGGAGGGGCGGGACAGGATTGGTGTCACCCAGCAGAGCCGGCCCCGCCAGTCAGGCCAGGTGACCGCTCTCGGACCTCGATCCCCAGAGGAAGTTTCAGGTGGTTGTTCCGCCTTCACGCGCATGTTTACGTCAGGCACCAACTGAGAACATGTCTACATGCACGTTCTCTTTTAAAACAGAAAGGATAAGCCCCACCGAGGAAACTGAGCGCTGACTGAGAATGTGCCGACGGCGTTCTAGTGTTTTCAATTACATCAGGCTCGACAGTGGGAGGTAGTTTTTAAGTGTCCTTATCTTTTAGAAAAAAGACTAGAATACTTATGGATGAGATGACATGACGTCTGAGATTCCTCTCAGACCAGCTTGCGGTTGGGGGGGGGCGGGGGACACAAAACACCAGCCATGAGCTGACCATCACTGAGGCCAGACCATGGCACACAGGGACTCAGTATCCTCTTCCCACTTTTATGTTTCAGATGTTCCAACATTTCAGGTTAAATAAAATGTTTTAAGTTTGCATTTAACATCACTACCTGACAAAATAAAAACCCCAGCATCTGGTCAGCGTGATACATTCAGGACACAAGGAACTTCAACGACTTGCCATTCAGATTTGAGGGTGAAGTTTGTCTCCAGATGCGTCTCCCGCCCCGGATCCCACTGACAGGTCATTCTCTTCCCTTCATTCACGATGCAACTCAAGTTCTTAGGTTTTTCTGGAGGCACTAAAAGGGAAAGGGAGAACTTTCAAAAAGCTTCACATCCACAAACAACATGCACTTCACGTCCTGCCCAAGAAGTTTACACCCTCAACTACACAGGAGAAAGCGCCCACGCAAAAGTATGGACATGGCGAGAGACTGGTGCCCGAAAAATTAAATCCTTTTCTATTCAAACCCAGACTTCCTTCTAGATAGTAACACACCTTTTCTATCATAACCACCAGTGACTAGTATGTTCATATTCCGTTTTTACACCTAACCAACGTTCATTTATGACTAAATAACAGCATCCTCCACTCAGTGCCGCGTAAAGAGGGGCATTTGCATATTAGTAAGAGGACACTCAGTGGAAACCGTGATTCATCTCTGTCTCTTCCTGCTGCCGTTCTGATCTCTGCTGGGAGCAGGCCCACGGCACACAGCTCGGGGTGACAGCTCCGTTCTGATCTCTGCTGGGAGCAGGCCCACGGCACACAGCTCAGGGTGACAGCTCCGTTCTGATCTCTGCTGGGAGCAGGCCCACGGCACACAGCTCGGGGTGACAGCTCTGGTCCTGGCTCGGTCCTGCCCGCTTATCTGCTCTGACACAGAAAGACTTTCTCCCACATTCACTCCCCTTCTTGGGGCTGCTCAGCGTGCGTTTTCTTAGAGATTAAGGCACCAAGCAACTGCAAGTGACTCTGATCAATTCACAGATTTCAGTTCAACAATTCTTTTTTGGGGGGAGGGGTGTCTCATGTCAAAAGACGTTTCCATAAAACGGACAGATCCTTGGCTTTCAGGGAAAAGGTACAACTCTGTTTCTTAGGTTTGTCTGCATAGTAGAGATGAAATTGTAGTTCCACTTCTAGGCTTATTTTTAAAAACAAACGTGTCCAAAAGCCACTGGCCCAGCGAGTCCCTGCATCTCCTGGAGATGAACACACGACACTGAAAACGCGATTCACAGTCACAGCCGAGCCTGGAAGGGACTCGGGGAACTTACGGCCGGAAACAATGCTGATCCCATACACGTTCTGATCGATCTGCCCGAACGTGCGGATGTTGCAGGTGAGCTGGGTGTTTAACAGGGAGAAGTCTGGGAAGGTGACGCTCGACGCCGTGCTGTTGATAACAGTGTACTGCTCGCGAGGAACCGTCACGTGGTTTGTTTTCCAGAAGATGTAGTCAGCGTTGACGTGTAAATAATCCATACATTTTTCCTTGAGCACACAGACCGCAGTGAAATTAGAACCAAGTTGCACAACCGGCGACTCAGGGTCGATATAGCCGCAGACATCCAGAAGTTCCCCTGAAAAGAACAACGGGGGCCATGTGGGTGTGGACTGCGTTTTACTGGCCTGGCCTGGCCTGGTGCACGTGCCGCCCGCAGGCCCCAGCGCTGGCGGTGTTGGCCCCTCGAACCCTCCAGCTGGTGAAACTGCGCCTGTGGGGACTGAGCCGCCCTGTGATCTGGGCCAGTCCTGCCCCCTAACCCACACTTCACTCCCGAGGAAACCCCTCCGAACGCTTCCTTGAACTTAAGGGAACAGCAAATATAAGGCTAATTTAGAGAATAAAGAAGAAGAGATGCAACCAAAGAGTCGACGATTTTTCTCCACACAGAACAGGAGAAAAACGAGAAATGGGCAAGTGTTCAAGCTTTCAGAGAGAAACACGGGCTCGTTAGAACGAGCCCGTTCCACCTCAGCCCCGTTCGCACGGGCCGCCAGCTCCTGCAGATGGAACTGCAGAAGCAGATTTCCTTTAAAAGGGCATCTGACCGCGAGCTGGGTGCCCGAGGGGAGATGGGAATGTGGGGTAGAGCACGCAACAGCCAGCATTAGAGGGAACACGAAGGAGCGCCGGCCTTCGGCTGCGGCAGGTTCGAACGGGTGAAGGCTGAGCTGGCTGCTGACTCGGGGTCGGAGGAGCGAGCAGTCTTTCCAGTGTAGCTGCCACCTCAGGTCCGCGGTGCCTACGCCTGCCCTGCCGCCCCGTGTGCCACGTGACCTCAAGGCCGGGCCATGAAAACATACAACTTCCAACCAAGCACTCCTCTCCTCCTGGCCTCTGCGCTGGAGCCGAGCCGGAGGCGAGGGTGCCAAGGCCCATGGAGAGACATCTGGGTGGTCTGGCAACAGCCCCGCCAAGGCCTCGCCCGCAGCATCAGGCAGAGCCTTTTCACGGGGAGGCCCCAGGAATGGTGTGAAGGCGAACCCACCTGGCTGGGCCTGGCTGTCCTCCGGACCCACGAAAACCACCAGAAAGCACCATTTCTGTCCTTTTAGACCACGAAGTCTTGGAGTAATTTGCGAGGCAGCAACATTTTATTTTATTTTATTATTTTTACTAGAGGCCTGGTGCACAAAAATTTGTGCACTCAGGGGGGAGGGGGGGGGTCCCTCAGCCCGGCCTGTGCCCTCTCGCAGTCTGGGACCCCTCAGGGGATGACCACCTGCTGGCTTAGGCCTGCTCCCCAGGGGACTGGGCCTAAGATGGCAATCAGACATCCCCTTGGCAGCCCGGCAGCCTTTAGGGGATGTCCACTTGCCAGCGGGGAGCAGGCCTAAACTGCAGTCGGACATCCTTAGCGCTGCTGAGGAGGCAGGAGAGGCTCCCACCACCACCGCTATACTGGAAGCCATCAGCCTGGCTTGTGGCTGAGCAGAGCTCCCCCCTGTGAGAGCGCACTGACCACAAGAGGGCAGCTCCTGCATTGAGCGTCTGTCCCCTGGTGGTCAGTGTATGTCATAGTGATCAGCCATTCCCAGTCCTTCTGCTGTTAGGGTCAGTTTGCATATTACCCTTTTACTATATAGGATAGAGGCCTGGTGCACGGGTGGGGGCCGGCTGGTTTGTCCTGAAGGGTGTCCTGGATCAGGGTGGGGGTCCTGCTTGGGTGCCTGGCCAGCCTGGATGAGGGGCTGATGGCTGTCTGCAGCTGGTCACACACCCTTCAGGGTGGGGGTCCCCACTGGGGTGCCTGGCCAGCCTGGATGAGGGGATGATGGCTGTTTGCAGCTGGTCGCACCCTCTTCGGGGGGGGGGGTCCCTACTGGGGTGCCTGGCCAGTCTGGGTGAGGGGCTGAGGGCCGTTTTCAGGCTGGCAGGTGACTGAAGCTCCCAACCTCTCCTTTTTTTCTTTTTTCTTTTTTAATTCTGGGATTTATTTACCCTCTATGGTTGTCACTGGAGCTGAGAGCCAGCTTCAGCTCTGAGGCTCAGCTCCAGCTCTGAGACCTCGGCTGCTGAAAGCAGTTATCTGGGTTTGTTTGGGTTCTATAATTGTAACACTGTTGCGGTCCTGCTCGCTCCAGCTCTGACAGCTGAAAGCAGGTTTCTGGGGATTGTTTAGCTTCTATAATTGCAACATTGTTTCTTAGAGTGCAAGCTCAGAGGCCAGCAGCGGCATGCGGGGAACCTTGGCTTCCTCCATCACTGGAGCAAGCAAGCCTCCTGTTCACTTCAGCTGCCTGCCTGCCGGCCGCCATCTTGGTTGGCAGTTAATTTGCATATCACCCTGATTAGCCAATGGGAAGGGTAGAGAAGTTATGGTTAATTACCATGTTTCTCTGTTATTAGATAGGATTTCAGAGGGGAAGGGAGGGAGAGAGAGAGGGAAACACCAATGATGAGAGCGAATCACTGATCGCTGCCTCCTGCACGCCCCTTCTGGGGATCAGCCCACAGCCCGGGCATCGAACGTGACCTCCTGGCTCTCAGGCTCAGCTCTCTCTGTGGGGAAGGACAGTGGGGCTCCCCCACCCCCGTCTGGCACAGATGGCTAACTTATGTTCTTCACCAAGTTCCACGAGACAAGTTCAACAATTACACGCCTGGACATCACGGTCATGTCAAACATTAACGGTTTGCAAACATTTGTCCCTGACTCTGCACTGTCTCCCTGTGGATGGGCGGCGGCCAGCGGCCAGCACGCCGACAGGCACTGCTGTGGCCGTGGAGGCTCTGCGCCCAGCGACCCTCCCGGCGCCAGTCCCCCCGGTGCCCAGTGGCCTCACATCAGGCGAAGCACTGACAGCCAGCAGGTCTCCTCCTGGTTCTTTATTTAAAACACAACCTCCCTTCCACACCGATAGCCATGGTCACTAAACCACATAGCATCCCACTTCTCACCATCACTCTGAGACAACCTTCTCTCAGCAACGACTACAGAGAAAGTGTGGAGCCTGCACTGTCACTGTATCCTATGAATGGAATGAGGTGACCCTGTGGGCGGGAGGGCGGCCCTGAGGAACCTTACCCAGGCACGTGGCGGTGAGGAGCAGCAGCAGGGTGGGCAGCATCCGTGTCCGCATGGCTGACATCTTGCCGGGACGAGTCTGCAAGAGGCACAGGAACGTCACTGCTCACACTTTCCTTCATGGCACATTTCCAACGTCTCCGCTCCGGAGGCTGCTCTATAGAAAGGGGTGCATTCTCAGGAGGGCAGAACAGCCAGTCTCCCAAGGGCTTCAGTGTGTCCCACTGAGGTTATGGCTACATCAATGCAGCGCGAGCCCGGCCAGTGTGGCTCAGAGGGTGAGCATTGACCCCGGCACCCAGAGGTTACCTGTTCGCTTCCTGGTCAGGGCACATGCCTGGGTTGCAGGCTCGATCCCCAGTAGGGGGCATGCAGGGGGCAGCCGATTAATGATGTTTCTCTCTCATCAATGTTTCTATCTCTCTATCTCTCTCCCTTGCTCTCCCCCTAAAAAAATCAATAAAAATATAATATTTAAAAATATTTAAAAATACAACTGGAAAACAGTTTCACTTTAAGGTGAATGAGAAGACGCTGTTTCTTCTTTAGTGAGTCCTGAGATGGAGCACTTAGACAGACAAGTGTCTGCAGGGCAAAACGCACCAAACCACCTCCAGTCATGCACCATGGAGAAGAGTCTAGCTCACAGCATGACCAGCAACACCCCTGATGCACGAAGAATGCCTACAAACCACTGAAAACCCCACACCCAGAGAAAACCAGGCCGGTGAGCTGAAGAGGCAACTCACAGAAAAGGAAACACAAGTCACTCAAACAGACGAGAGGACACTTCACCCGTCACAGCGGAAGAGACCAGCGACCCCGCACAGGACGCTCTGGAGAGCAGCTCGCAGCCCTGCACCAGCAGAGCTCAGCGCGAGACCCCGACTGCCACGCCCAGCACCGCCCGCGGGAGGGAGCGAGCGAGGGTCCCTCCCAGACCAGGCGGAGGCTCCCGGCTTCGATGAAATCAGCCGCAGGCACTTCCACACCAGCCGGTCTCACGTGACACAGGAGGCGGCGGGAGCAAACCGGGCACCTCGCACCGAGGGCACAGCCGGGCGCGTGGTCAGGTCAGAGGGCGTCTGGGGGGAGGGCCGGGCGCATCCTGGGCTGCGGGCGTGTTCTGTGTCGCGACGGATGGTGGTGAGTCACGAGCTGCACACTGACGGCGTGTGGACGTGTACATGGCCCTCAGTGAACATGGTGAGCCCACGACGACGCAGGCCCGACACCACCCTCCCCTCGTGGGGGGAGGACGGACCTGAGTGACGCCGGGGCACGGAGACGGTGACTCAGCCTCGCAGGGCCACCGTGGCCGCCTTCCCACAGCCGGACGGCTCAGCCTGAACGTCACGGTTTGTTACTCACAACAACACCTGCCCGACAAGGGACGGGCAGCCGAGAGCAGCTCAGCAGCACCGGCCAAGGCTGGAGCCAGACACCTGAGCCTGACGATTCGACTTCTCGAATTTCACCTGACAGATGTGAGCAAACAACACGCGGGCCAGTTACTCACGACAGCGCTGCTTTCACAGGAGAGACTGGAGCGACCGGAAGTCCTGCAGGGGCCCCGTGAAGTCACGGCACACCCAGCCCAGGGCACACGCAGCCACAGGAAAGGGCCTTCACACGCAGGCATGTCAGTGCTCACAACACATGAAGTCACGGCACACCCAGCACAGGGCAGACGTTCTCGCCCAATGAAACGATGCCTCTGGCCTCAGCTTCCCAGCGCTGCGTCCACAGGAGGAGCGCCCCGGCCATCGTACCTGCCACGCAACGGGCCTTGCACAAAACTACTCGACCACGAGCGGCTCTGACCGCCAGGTGAAGGCAGAGGCCATTTCCCTCCACCTGGTTCCGTCCTTCCTCCCCATGGGAACCAGTCCCACATGAGAACCGCAGGACAAGTGAGGAGGTGGCCGGGCGTCCTGCCCCTCACCCCCCAGCGCTGTCCCCGCGACAGAGGGCCCCCTGGGGTTGCGGGGACGGTGGCCTTCCTGTGGGCGGCGCTCTTCCCGAAAGGACCGAGGGCACTGCAGAGCCACCACGCTCCCCTGAGCAGCGACATGCTTTCCGCTTCTGAACAGACGGCCATCGGGATGTGAGGGGACGAGGGGGACAGCTCCCAGCAACGTGACGCCACCGTTCACCCCGACAGGGGACACTCAGCACCCTGCACGTTCCCGGGGGCCGTGCACCCACTGCGTTCGGACCTGCTGTACAGGGACGAGTGGCCAGGACTCTGCTCATTTCTCCTGTGTGCACCTTGGGGTGGCGAATCTGCTGTACAGGGACGAGTGGCCAGGACTCTGCTCATTTCTCCTGTGTGCACCTTGGGGTGGCGAATGTCCACCTGGAATGGCCATGAGCGCCCCCTCCGCCTCCCCTGCAGGTCGTCTCTGTGATTATAACCACGACTGGCGGCATACGCGGCTCCGAGACCCGCGCGCTCTCGGCGGCCCAGGCCCCGCTGTGGGAGCTGGAGACACAGCACCTTGTAAAGGACTAACACATAAGAAATTACATTTATAACAAGGATGTGCTAAAGATGCAAAGGAAATACGTATTTTTAAATTTTCAAATAAAAAGAAATTGAAAAACGTCAAGTGAAAATCCTCTATATTCCCACCAAAATTACAACCGAGTAATTTTGTAGATAATCTTGCAAATTTTTCGTTTTTTTTATTTTTCAGTTCTGCGTCGCTACAGCTATTTTGGTCCTGGGGGGAAATACCAAACAACATAAAAAATCCACCCTCCCTCCCACCCCTGCCCTGCGGCTCCACCAGCTCCTTCTCTACCTGTGAGTCCGTCTTGTCTTGTTTACTCACTTACTTTCTTACATTCCACAGGTAAGGGCGACCCTACGACCCTACGGTCTTTTTCTCACTTCACTGAGCATCATGCCCTCCAGGCCCATCTCTGCTGTCACAATGGCAGCTCTCCGCCCTTGTCATCGCTGAGCCACAGGCCCTCGTCTACATCCCGAACCTTCTCAGCCACAGTTACCAACAGGCACCTGGCGGCCTTTGTAAGTGACGCTGCCCTGAACGCAGGGGGGTGTGTACTAGCATCTGTACATTTCCTCTGTGCATAACTTCATGTTACGGAAACACGTGCTTTCTTATTTTACAAAGATGGGATCGCGACCATGTTCTGTAACCTGCTTTCTTCACTAAACACTACCTATTGGGCTTTCTAAGTCAATAGATGAGTATTAATTCCTTACAGCCTTTGTTCAAACTCACTTCTCACGCAGGTCTTCCCTGACCAGCCTGTGCTGCTCCCCCTCCCCGACCCTCGATAGCCCTGAGCACCGTATAATACGTTGGCGGGCAGGTCCCATAAAGGGCCAGACAGCACACAATTCAGGCTCCGAGGGCCTCCACGCTCCTGCGACCAGTCACTCTGGCCTGGCGTGCTCACAGTGTGAACACATGGGCACGGCTGGGTTCCAACAAGACTCCATTTGCCAAAACTCACTTGAACTAGTTCACAGACCTACATGTAAAGCCTAAAACCTCGGGCGAGAAAACACAGGAGAAACCCTCTGAGGAGTTGGTTGGGCAAAGACTCTTAGACACGACACCGACTGGTAAGTTAGGCTTCATTAAAATGAAAACTGCTGCCGAAACCGGTTTGGCTCAGTGGAGGGAGCGTTGGCCTGCGGACTGAAAGGTCCCAGGTTCGATTCCGGTCAAGGGCATGTACCTGGGTTGCGGGCACATCCCCAGTAGGAGATGTGCAGGAGGCAGCTGAATCGATGGTTCTCTCTCATCGATGTTTCTAACTCTCTATCCCTCTCCCTTCCTCTCTGTAAAAAAATCAATAAAATATGTTTTTTAAAAAAATAAAATAAAATGAAAACTGCTGCTCTTTTTAAAAATATATATATTTTATTAATTTTTTACAGAGAGGAGGGGAGAGGGATAGAGAGTTAGAAACATCGATGAGAGAGAAACATCGATCAGCTGCCTCTTGCACGCCCACTACTGGGGATGTGCCCGCAACCAAGGTACATGCCCTTGACTGGAATCGAACCTGGGACCTTTCAGTCCGCAGGCCGACGCTCTATCCACTGAGCCAAACCGGTTAGGGCAAAAGCTGCTGGCTGCTCTTTAAAAACACTGGTGAGAGAATAAAAAGACCGGCCACAGATTGGGAGGAAATACTTACCAGTCAATTTCCCAATAAAGACCTATTCCAGAATGTATTTTTAAAACTAGGAAAACATAATGAGAAAATAAACCTCATGAAAAGGTGAGCAAAATATTTGAACAGACACATCACCGAAGGAGGAAATGGCTGAAGAAAACAAGTGCCGTGTCCTTGGCTAGTCCACCCGAGGTACTTTCCCAGAGAAACGAAAGCTACAGCCAAGCAGAGCCGTGGGCCTGTACACTGCAGTCTGTCGTACACGACACATCACGCCCCTCTCACAACAGGGAAGCCAGTTCGTTCACGCAGCAGACACATGAAGTGCTCCCCACGCTGGTATGATTCCGGATCTGGGACTAGAGAGGGAGCCAAGCGTCTTCAGGCGTCACCCCTCGCAGCCCATGTCCAATCAGGGCCCTGCCTGGGTGCCGGGGTAGGAGTTCATCGTGAAGCGCTCAGACCCTCCGGGCTCAGGGCGCACTCGGGAGACAGCCCCTCCCCGTGCGGCCACCGAGCTCTTGCTGCTGCTGCAGGGCATTTCCCGGACACCGCAGCCAGCTTCCTGTTGAGAGGCCAGGGTTCAAGGAGACGCCGGGAGTTGTCGATCATTCAACACAGTTCTGGGGGCAGCTTAATAAAAAATAACAAGCAAATAAATAAGACAAAAACGGGAAAAGAAAAACTTGCAGGTGATAGGATCACCTATCAAGAAAAAGAGTAAGAATCCAATGCCAGGCTATAAGGACTAGTGCAAGTTTAATCTAATCGCTGAATAAAAGATCATAAAAAACACAGCTTTCCTTGACATCGATAATGAGCAATCAAAATGTAACAGAAAAATCCCTATTCACAGCAGCGTCCGACTCTAACGTGCCGAGGAAAACCCTAGCCAGACCACGCGACAGCTCCGTGACGAACGCCATGAACCTCCTGAGCTTCCCCGTGGCCCTCCGTGTCAGGGGTAGGAGGGCCATACAAGCAGGACAGCCTTCT